AGAAAAAAAATGTGTTTGATAACATGTTCTATTTTTATTCAGAGAATGAGAATTGCGTTTGATAACACAACAAACAATAGAATAAAAATTTATTCTTATTAAGCATGATTTTTTCTTGGATCATCACTTTTCTTTCATATAGTGAAGTGGTGGTGGTGACGGTGGCGACAATGGTTGCAGCCAGTGGCGGACCTATGTGAGTGTAAGTGTGTGCAAGTGCACACACAATTTTTTTGAAGAAAAAAGAATATAAAATATAAAATATATTTTGGGTCATCAACAAAAATTACATGACCCAAATTAATCTCTTAAAAAAAAGTCGACTTGTGATACTTTTAAATTCCAAAATAGACCAATGTTAATCCTTTTGAGGGATTAATGTGGGTCTTTTTGAATTTTAGAAAGCGTGATTTTGATTATCTGAGTCTATTTTTAAATTATGAGGGATCACGAGTAGAATTTTTTTTCCTAAGAGATTAAATTGAGGTCTATAATTTTTGTTGAGGACCCAAAATGTTCTATTATAACCGTTTAATTGACTATTGATTATTTTTTTTATATTAAGTTAAAGTTTTCTTTTCTTTTTTTGTTTATATTCTTTTGTATTTTAATATATTTAAAATTTTCTTTATTTTTTTTCTTTATTCTTTTATTCTAAGTATGCAGACATTAAAAAAATTTCTAGGTCCGCTATTGGTTGCAACAACGGTGGTGGTAATGGTGGTGATGATGGTGGTGGCGTGGTGGTGGTGGTGATGGCGGTGTCGGTGGCTGCGATGGTGGTGGTGGCGTGGAGGTGGTGGTGACGAACACGGTAGTGGTATGACGATGGTGGTGATGGTAGTGATGAAGAGTGATTAAGAGAGACAAGTGTTTCTCATTTTGTGCCCGAGAACAAAAAAATAGAAATTCTTTTATTCTTTTTTTTTTGTTCCCCAGCACAGAAATTGAACCAGTTCATTATCGGAAACAAAAAAAAAACTGATTTTGTCAAACACTATTTTTATCCATTTATGTTCTCGGGAACAAAAATTGAAAAAAATCTGATTCTCAAAAAGTTATCATGCACACCCTTAACTTGCGCCATTTGACAAATACCGATTGTCCAATGCCCAAATGCGTCCTTACCTCTTGCGCGACTTGAACACACATCTATTCCATGCTTGTCTAAATATATTATTTTAGTAATTTTTTTTGGTTTTGAAATATTTTTATTTTTTATTTGAAAAATTGCTTTTATATGGTGAAACACCCACTTCGAAGATTTGCACATTTGCAAATACGAGGCAGACCATTTAAAGTTTAAAGATTTTTAGAGCTCGTTTGATGCACCTGATAAAAATGATAGGATATAATAGACTGTCTTACCATGTCTTTATCTATTATTTGGTGAACCAATAAAATATGATACACTTATCTTATTTGCATCTCTTATCTTACTCAGAGGTTGATTTCTAATGCTAAGGGGGGCTTGGGTTAAGAGGGGGATATGATATGATAGGATAGGATAATAAAAATTATTTTTTATTTTTCCCATTGCAGCCCTCCCTGGACATGAACCCAACACCCTGATATCTACTCCGGGGGTGTACCTGCCTTATGGTCCGCTGGAAACGACACCATGGATATGGATCTGGCGGAGGTTCTCATGTTTCTTCTGCATCCTTGTTAAACGCTCCATTTCTTGCACGTCTCTATTGCGTTGTGGTTTTTGTCATTAGAATCTGCAACCACACCCAAATTGAGTGGGGTTGTTTACAGGTTTTAGATTGGACAAGGTGGGTAATATCATTTCAATCTTTTATTACGCAACGAAGAATATCATTCTTGAATTGAAGCCTTGGTCCTTCTCCTGTTTGGATCCTCTTATTTTTAAGCTAGAAGCTACTTATAAACTAAAGTTAAAAAAAAGAACTTAAAAAAATAAGCTAAAAGCTGTTTGGAAATTACATAAAAGTTTTAGCTTAAAAATTACTTAAAAACACATATTTCAAAAAAATTATCTTTCTATCTTTATCACTCTTCATTTTAAAAAAGCACACAATCCAAAAAAACAGATAAGAGCTTAAAAAAACTCCTCCTAGGAGCTTTTAGTTTTCAGCTTTTTTCTTCATTATAAAAAAAAGAGCTTTTCTTTATAAGTGCTTTTCCCAAAATCTGTTTAGCCTAGCTTATGCTTATAAGTAGCTTGTAGCTTAAAAAAGAGAGTATCCAAACAGACACTAAGATTCATTTTTTGATCATCAAAACGAGAATTGAGGTAAGATATTTGACGGGGTTACATTTTTCACTACTTTTTTTTAAAAAAAAAAAGTTTTAAAAGTTTTGAATAATTAAAAAAATAGGAAGTAATGTATAAATAAGTTAAAAGAAAAAAAAGTATATAAAATTATGTTATGAAGGATATTTTCATCTATTTATATCATATATTGTGGCTATCTGGTTGACTTCAAACACATGATAGGATAATATAATCCCATCAAACTATCTATCTAGTGTACATCAAACACGAAACATAATATGAGCATATTATGCTCATCTTATCCTATTCGTCCTTATCTTATCCTGTCCACCAAACGAGCCCTTAAATCATGACTAAAGTAACAAAATTAGGGCCTGCAAAGACAAAAAAATCCTACGAAAATAAAAAATAATTAAAATATTGTTTTTTATTAACTCAAATCTTATAATAATTAATTATTTTATTTTAAATCATATGATTTTTTAAAAAATATAAACCAACTTATAAAATTTATAGATCATGTCTTTTAAAATTAATCAAATAACTAATTTTTAAATAATTTTACTTTTAGACATAAACCTAACTTTATTTCATTAACCAAGCCGAATTGAGTCGGGCCTGGGCACGTAGAGACAACTTCCCTAATAACTTGTTACCGTCACAAAGAAATTACTCCAAGGGATATTCGGTAAAAGAATTTTTTTTTGGATTCTCATAAAATTGATATTAGTATTTTTATTTAGAGTTTGTTATTTGTTATTTTAAATGACATGAGTTGTGTCATTTTAAGAGAGACAGTGATTTTTTTTTTTTATTTAAAATTTTAAATTTTTGTGTCTGTATCTCTTTTCTTAAAAATGATACAAGTTTTTGTCATTTGACAAATACTTCTCCCTTTTATTTACTCCCCTTTGATATAGTGATTCTGAAATTTTTTCTCTAAAAATCAGATTCCCCAAAAAATTATTTGTGCTATCTAAGAATAGCACAGGTTGGATTCCTATAAGATGGAAAAATGGGAAAATTTTCTGGACAAAAGTACCTTCCAGAAATTGTTTCTTTCGTTCTTATTCTTTATGCAAAACCCAAAAATCATGCACAATTGTTTGGTGGAGATGGAAGAAGGAAGGTGCAGGGATAAAAGGGATTGGTGGTAATGGGTGACATAATGTGGAGCAAATATGGCAGTTCACCGGCGGAGATGTGGTGCGGTGGCGGTGTTAGGCATGAAGATAGGTTTGACGGTGGAAGGATGGTGGTTGTTTCCAAAGGTGCTAGGGGCTTGGACGGTGGTGGTGTGCGGTGAAGGATATGGTGGCTGTTGTGGCGGCTCTTGGTCGACGGATGTTGGCGACGAAGGACAATGGGGGTGCGTGGTGGTTATGGAGTTCTCGATTTTAAAACAGTGGTGGGTTGGGTTTTGTGGTTGCTTGGTTGGACGATGAAATAGTGTTTGAAGTGGGTGGGGAGATGGATGGGCCACCAGCGACGGGTTGCGTGGTGGTTCTCGAGTTCTCGGTTTTGGAACTGGTGTTTGGAGTGAGAGATTTTGTGAAAAGCAGAGAGACAAAGAACAACAATGTAAAACACTTTTCTAAAATCAATTCACATTTTCAGCAATTGTTCACAATCAATTAAAGGTTTCTTGTTTGTGATTTTAAATGATATGAATTATGTCATTTTAAGAGAGAAATAGACACAAAAAAAACGAAAATCATGAAAGAGAGAAAGTGAGTGATTTTTTTAAATTTAAAATTTAAATTTTCTGTGTCTGCATCTCTCTTAAAATGACATTACTTCTTGTTATTTAAAATGACAAACACTTTTCCCATCAATTAAATATAAGTAAAGTTTTTTCTGAGTTTCCAAAAAAAAATAGGATTTTCATTTTTGTCCTTTATAAAAAAATACTTATATTAATTATTTTTTGGGATTATATTGAGTCTTTTTTTGAGGGATCACATTTTTTAAAAATTTGAATTTCGAGAGATCAAAAATTAATTTTTTTTTGTAAGGAAAAAAAACATATATCATATCTTTTATTATGGACTTTACTCATTAAAAATAGTATAAAAAACTTAAGCAACATTTCTCTAAATCTTTTAACCTATCAAATAATTTTTTTTTTGGTCATATTACCATTTCCTAGCAAATTGCTGTGATTCGCGGTAAATTTTTGTTGTCGTATAACAAATGCTCCCTCAGCGTTAACAAAGAAATTATCGCAAAAAATAAAACCTATGAAACACTTACACTTTAAAATTTCTAACTTGTCGTGTCGTGTTCGACACTTTTCGACATTCACTGACACTCCAACACTTTTCCACACTTCAATTCTTGTTGTAAAGACTCAAAAAAGGTTTAAATGTTATGTTGCGTTGCATTTTGAGTTTTAACTATTAGATTTGTCGGATTATGATTACTATTTTATTGAGTTTCATATAAACATTTGCGATATCTTATGTTTCTTTGTAAAATTGATAGGGATTATAAGTTTAGTTTTATCTTTTTGTTAAATTATTAAATATTAAATATATAAACACTACATATATTAAAAATATTATATAATATAAAACGTGTTCTAACGTGTCAAAACGTGTTAAATTATCTTTTTAGAATTAACGTGTTGTGTCGTATTCCGTGTTGGTGATTCTAAACCACGTGTCTTCGTTTGACAAATGCAATAGCCTAGAGCGCATACTCTGTGCTATACGCGGGGAGCTTATCGCGACCTTTTTCAGATACCTTCACACTCACGGTTGTGCATCTACTTCCCTGAGTGCTGTTCTTGTACGGAGGGTCTGCCATTACATATTCTTTTTCCAACTACACTAAAACAAAAGAAAAGACAGGGAAAACTATGGTTTATCTCGCCGAGTACGGCACAGTCGTTGGAATCAATCACCGGAGGCCAATTTCTACGATATCAATTATACCAAACGGCACCGTTTCAACGGGCTACGTCGTCGTATTTCTGTGTCGGAGTTGCAGAGAACATGGCTTCAGTAGCGCCTCTGAATCAGCTTGGACAGATTTTCCCGTAGAGAACGCGTACGAACTGTTAGGAGTGTCGGATACCAGCTCATTTGCTGAGATAAAAGCGTCGTTTCGCAAATTGGCCAAAGAAACTCACCCGGACCTCGCTGATTCAAGGAGCGATTCCACTGCATCTCGACGATTTGTGCAAATCCTAGCCGCCTACGAGGTGCGTGCAAATCATGCTTAGGTTTATAGCCTCAGAGTCAGAGGTTTAGGGGAAGTTTTATTCCTGAGCAAAACTTTTGAGATAGCTTAAATTAGAGCTTGAATGAAAACGAATCAACGAAGTTTGGCTCATAGAAGAATGCTCTAAAATTATGTTTAGGGGATATTTTATTTTCTTTACGATTTTGTGTAAGGGTCTGAATAGTTTGTTTTACTTGAATATTCTGACTATATCGAATTTATATCCAGGTTGATAATTAAATGGCTCTATTAGCTGAGAAATAACTTGCTCACAATAACCTTCGCTAGCCTATTTTGTTAATCCATTTTCAAGGACTTTCAACACCCAATAGTTCAATCTGACGAAAAAACGGATAGTAAGTTCGCTTAATGGCTGTCTGTTTGATCTTTGATAATTTGTCTCATGAATTTGTGTCTGCCGTTCTGTTGTTCATCGTACTACATTGGTTTTGTTGTTGCTTGTATTGGTTGCTCGATAAGAAATTGTGTCAAGTTAGTAATGGAACAAACCACTATATGTTGGAGTTTTACAATTTTGGATAATATGTGCACGGTCTTGGACATATTTCTTGGCTTTATGTTTTCTGCTGATTTTTTTTTTTTTTTTTATTGGTTATATTCGTTCCATATTAGCAAGATAACCACCTACTTCATGAATTTAACCGCTGGAAATCTCTCAGATCATGATATGGAGTCTGGTGGGTAACTAGAATGAGGTTTTTTCTTTGGCTTACTTTACAGGGAATATTGAATTAACAGAATAATCCATGATGCGTTGCAGATTCTTTCTGATTCTCAAAAGAGAGCCCATTATGACATGTACCTGTTGTCTCAGAAAAAGCTTATGCAAAAGCATTCTCGGCAGGGTTCAAAATTGCACATATACAAATCACAGGCTACTACGTTGAAGGAGATGGAAGTTGTTGAATGGTTGAAGTGGTACAGATTAGCTATAAATGATATTTTGTCAGAGAAGAAGGAGATGGTGGGAACAGGCTATTTTGATTTACTTGAGAGAGATTTTTATTCAGCTATTCATGCAGCATACTACGGCCCTGAAATTGATTCTATGCCCATGGAGCTTCTTCCTGACTGCTTTGAGGCTGAGGAGAGGTCCTCTTACGAAACTCATGAGGTTTTGCACTTGGTTTCAGGCCGTGATCTTTTTGGGATGGTATGCCTAGTGAACAAGATTCCTGAGATATCATCTAGCAATATTGAAACTTTAACTTCTTTTAGATCCTTCCATTCAGGCTTGTGTCCATCCACAACAAATGTGAACATCCACAGGAATACTGAAAGCCCAGATGATTTTGGAACTCATCAAGGTCATAGCTCTAAAATTTCATGTAATGTATCAGATGCATATAGAGATCTAGAATTGCATGTCTCTGGGAGAGTGGTTGCTACAGCATCTAGGGTCCTACCTAGATGCTATTCTGGTGCGTTGCAGAAAGAAGATGATGTAGATCACATTCATGTGTTCCTTAATTCAGACGAAGATCCCAAACATACCAGTAGTGTCTTTTCCAAAAATTGCTCTGCAAATGGTGCAGTTGGAAGCAGAATTCATTTGGGAACCATATCTGGACTTGGAAGCAGTCCAGACGAAGGTTGTTGTTATGTCTACAATAACAGTGGTGCAAAGACCCATGTTATTATGAAACATAGAACGTTGATGGTATGTAAAGTTTCTTTCCCGAGGCCTTGTTGGTTTAACACTTAGAACCTAAAGGGGGTTTTTACTTGTGCATAAGTACTAAACTTTGTTTGTTTCCATTTTTTGTATTTTTAAATGTGAGAAGAAACATGGTTTGGGCTTCAGGATCTTGCTAGAAATTTAGTATTTTAACTTGGTATAGCTAGATGCTTGTAAATATGTAATGTTATGTATGATAAAATTTTCAGGTGAAGCATATGCACTGGTATGAAGTGGGTGAGAAAGTTTCAGTTTGTGAGTGTAGATGCACTAGAGCTCGTTTGCCGCCAAGCAAGTAAAGCTCTAGCATCTCTCTATAATCTTATTGATGTTTGAGTTAGCACAAAAATCTCTTTGCTGTTCATTAACTGATGCTATATGCTCTTTTATCTTTTATAGAAAATGGGTGTGAATGTCATAATCTTTCCTAGTAAATAAGTAAATATATCGTGTGTTGATTTCTTTTTTTTTTTTTTTGTATACAGTTGATTTCTTTCTTTGGTAGAACATGTTGTGGTCATATTATGCATGGCAATCTTCTCATTTCATGTTTGCTGGTTTGTTTTTTAAGTGTTGATGTTATTGACTAATAAATGGTTCTATCAAAGCTTAAAGCAATTTGGTCATTGGATTAATTTACTTATGTCGTTTTCAACTTTCAGTTATCTGGAAAATGATGTTGCTATACCTTCTCAGGAAAGAACCATGAATTGATGGAGTAATATTGTAGATTTATTGCTCAGGACTCTTCTCTCTACACAGTGTTGTGCTTCTAGCTGCAAAAATAAACTTACTGCTGTGTTCCCAAGCTTATGTTCATTTTTTTATGATACTACAACTTGTTATTCATGAAGATCATATGTTGCTCTCTCATTACTGCTTGCAATACTTTTTAATAATTTTAACCCCTTAATTATACAGATTTTGGCTATTTGAGCCTCGTTGTGGCTTCCATGACATAGGGGGTTGGTATGTTGAAACATATGGCAAAGATAAGAATGGTCATACTATGCCATCACAAAGGTTCTGGGATGGCTTGGATTATAGTGAGGAAGCTGACAGGTAAGTAAATGGACATTTCTTGTCTTCTCTTAACTTTGTGAAGAACTACTTCATGGAACCAAGAGAAGTTTTAGAAATTATGTCCCAACAACCCAACTCAAATATTTGCCTATGGTGTATCCTGACCTGTCTCAGTTCTGCAAACTGCAGAAGACTTCATCCAGCAATGTATCTGTTTGGTCTTGCTTATCGGACACTTGATCTTGAATATGCCAAAGCTAGCAAGAAAACATTTAAGAATGGTTTTGGAGCTCAAATGTTCCGAATTCTTCACTGGTGCAGGAAACTTGTGCAATAGGTACATGAATATCCATTGGGTGGATGACACGGTCAACGAATTTACTGAGTCATTGCTAGACCAATTATGACAGATCAACAGATTCTTTAATGATCTCCATTTAGTGATTTTGGAATATTTCTTTGTTCATTTACAATAATACAATGATTCTCGGGAGGGATGCTCTGAAAATACTGAAAGGAAAACTCATTAGAAGCCTCTATTAGTTTTATTTACTTGGCTAGAGTAAATTCAACTTTTGATCTGCCTGGTGCTGGATATGTTAGCCAAATACTGAGTTCACTTGGTCAAGGATTGGCTGCTGGTGCTGTTTTAATATTTAAGGAATCGATATCATGACTGAGCTGATTAGCACCGACATTGATTTTGTCAAGAATGTTCTCTGGTGCTACTTGTCTCGAATCGCTGTGCAATCATAATCTTTATGGATATACATATATGGATTTCTATATGTGGAAAATACCTCTGCTGTTGCCTCTCTGTCATTGAAACAAATTTCTTTGTTTTGTTCAGTGTTATGGAAGCTAGTTGTTTCACTGTGCTAGGAATTTCATCACCTCACCGGAATGGTCGTATTGCTGAATCCACTATCCTGCAATTTACTTGGCTACCATAACTCATGGTATATTCCAATACAATCTTTTGCTGCTTGAATAGACTTGTCCCAATACACAAGTGGAACTTGCATGTCTCTACTTGTATATCTGTCTATACATTTAAGCCTATTTATCTTGTTCATGTTGCTGTTCCCTCTGAATTTATATGCAAATAGTACTATAACATGTAGTTTTATTATGATCACGTTATTGCTCAGTGTGATGTTTAGTTATGTTTCTTCACTTTCTATTTCAGGCTTGCTTTGTTTTTGCTTTGAATGCCTTAAATTGCTTACTTTACTAATAGAATAAAGCTTTGGGCCATAGTGTCACCACAAATCATAAACTTTACTAAATGAAATTGATTACATCTGCCTCTTTTTGGTCCTTTACTTGACCAGATCTTCCCATTTGCAGTACTGACCTCCTGCTAATGCTCGATAAAACCTATCCCTACAGTAGACAGGTCTTCCATCAGCAGCCTCAGCAGCAGCAGCTGCTAGATCGTCATCAGCTATCACCTCTACAGGCAATTTAAGCAACTCCTCCTTACTACAACATGAATTGAAAAATTGGAATGACATGGTGGAAATAATCTGGAAGATTGTGCAGGATCTTTGTATGTCTTTCCTTACCTTAGGTTGAACTTTGTGTTAACCTTGGGAGCTCGGGCGGTTGATTTATTTTCTGCTGTGTTGAAGGTGGTTTGAAGAAAATTCTCCACTGGTGTAGCAAAGATAAATAGCATAACTCCGGTAACAAGTAATGCTCCAGTCCCAACTAGAGTTTGCTTCAGCAATTTAACAACTGGTTTAACCTGGAGACATGGAATATATGTGAATCATGCTGCAATAAATCAAGTTTAACATATTGCTCTTCTAGACTGCTCCCAAAATTTTTCTGCATAATGAATTCATGCAATGCTGTCATACTTTGCGATGTCCAGTACCTTGTAAGAGCCCAACAATCTATCACGAGCTAGGATCTGCAAAGAAAGCTGAGTTTTCAGTTTATAGTGACTGAAAAGAGAGAGAAGAAAAATGTCACTGGTTCCTTTACTATATTTGTTAGCACATTTCAATTACACTTTATTCCATATCCTTCATATTCATTAATTTTGAACAGACTGCTTGTTGCTTAATCAAGATCCGTCTATTATCTGTTCGCCTTTAGGCTGTCTCATCTGATCCGTCTCAATTTAGCATTTACCAATGGCCTTGTCTTTTGCTAAAAATATCAGTAGTAGATTTTGTTCAAGTACCTAGTGCCAAAGTGCAATCAACATCTAAAATTGGCAGCTTTTCTATTCATTTATGCATATTTTAATAGTAAAAAATCCTGCTATTGATGGAGCTGTAAATTTGTCAGTTTGGAATGTATGTATCTTATGGCCCATTGAGTCTACAGCCTTGAATATAGTTTTAGGCAAGGGAAGTCCTAAGAGGTACGTATGTTCTGTTCTCTCTAGGTAAAGGAAGAATGTCTAAAAGAGGCTAACCTCTGGCGGCTTGACCCACATTTGTCCGTCATACCATCCACTTTCTTCATAAGGAATGACTGCTGATAGAAGTCTATCGCCAACGTAACTCCACCCCTGCATTGTAATTCAATTATCTTAACTGCAACGGTTATTTAAGTAGGAAGGTGCAGCCGGACACTTAAACATCGTGTATAGTTATTGTGAACCATGAACAGATTACATTCAGTTGATACTGCACTTCGCCAACAATGTAAAGAACATGCATGCCTAGAAAAGGGAGTTCCAAGTGCGTTAAACTTCCAATCCTTGCTCTACAAATGCAAATACAGATTTGAATACTTTATTAGGCTGTTGGGGAGCACAAAAGCAGGGAAAACCTTTCTCTATAAGTTAGGCGGCGAACTATAATAGAAGAAGGATTAACATGATACTTCAAAATAATGAGTATATACCTAAAATTTTAATGGGTTGGTGTATGGGGGAAATTTATCATTCATATTACATTTTCCCATATTTCCTGGCTAATACTCCCAGTCCCCAGTAATGAAATGATTGTGACATGAGGTACGAAAAGAGGATTAGAACGCACCAGATAAATCCTCAAGACAATCAAAGACACAATGAAGAGTGTTCCTGTTCCAGCAGCTAGTATAAATCTTAGAGGCTCCTGCAAGGTTGTGAACATTAACGCAGGCAGAAGGAAATTTTATGAGCCACTTTGTAAATGTTACGTTTATGTTTGTGTGCAGCTCGCATGTATTCTTGTGTATGCATCAAAATTTCTGGTCTGTTACTTGATTAGATGTCCAAAAATTATGCACTTATAGATTTTGCATCTTCCTTACTCTAGAAGGATTAAAGCTTGCAGCTGCAATCGGCACTCCAAGAACTATGAATGCTACCAACCAGAGACCTCCAAGGCGAAGGAAGAGCGACTCCGGACCCAGTTCACCCCATGAATACAGAATTCCATTCTTCAGAGATGAGTACTCATTTACCTATTACACCGTGAGAGTGTCGGGGTCAGCATAAATTTAAAAATGAAACAAGTTTTAGTGGAACTATCCCAGTGACTAATAATCCATTTAAATCCCTTCTAACGAACCGTTCCTGTTTAAATGTGTGTGCAGGGATATGTAACTCACCAGCTGGCATTGTGTTTTTAGATGGCTAGGTTCAGCCATGAATTTATACACTAATACTACACCATGCAATATCATGTTGATATCGAGGATCATTCTAAGAAAAAAATTATAGCCACAAATGGATAGTTGTTTATACATACCGGCCTCTGCTCAAAAGGGACCTCAATTTCCAACCCAGGATCCCAGCTACGTCCTGAAGATCCACTTTTTTCCCCATCCATCTCATCTTTTACGGCCTTAACCCTGATTGAAATCCGAGGAGAAAAATTTGAAGCTCTGCGATTATTGATAATCAATGAACCATAGCTGCTGCTTGGTCTGGCTTGTCTTGCACTTGGAATTAGAGAGCAGTAGACATTAAGTCTGATCATTTACTTGTTGAATTTAAGCTCTCACCTACGCAGCAGTGTTGTGTTCTAGTTTTAAATCCCAGTTCAATTTCGGAGTAGAGGAAGAGGAGTGAGATAAATTATGCTCACTGATTAATAGTAATGGTTTTTTTTTTTTTTTTTTATCTCTTTATGCCAGGGACCACATGTTATTTACGTGGAGGAGGACGAGAAGTAAACAACGTTTGTGCATTTTCCAGATTTTCATAGACTGGAGATCCCGCGGTTCTGCTCTGCCTCTTCGTTATGTGGACAAGCTTCTATCTAGTCCACGTGGGCTTCTTATGTACCGTCCATCTGATGTGCTTCGCATCCTTAGGAGTTAGGACTCACATTATCCGAACCAAATGTATTTCGTACTTTTTTTATTTTTGTGGTCTGAGAAATGCGAATGGAACTGTTGCTTGAGCAACGTGGCGGCTGTTACCTTGCACGCAAATTGGAACTCTGTTCCTGTTGCCTGCACGTACCGGGAACGAGCATAATCAATTAGCAAAGCAACAGCGAATCCACTTTCATCCCAGCTTGGTTAGAGTAAAGTTTTCTGGGTGTCCATTCAAATTTTTTTATTTATTATTATACATATTATAATGTGTAAAAATTTCTAAAAAAAAAAATTGTAAATATAAACCTATTCTGTCGTTATTACTATCATTATTATTGCATCAATTCACAAATGGATTTGATTTGGCTGTTTTTAAGTGGAAGATACATCATACAGCCCTAGTAAATAGGCTAGTATACGCTGTTTGCCTTAAACCTCCGAGAGAGATTGTTTAACAGTAATAATAGCAGTAAATTATATGACTTTTTTAAGGAGAAATAATATTTACATTTACCAACTATGTTTCAGTTTAATTAATTGTGGTCGCCCGTATCAGCGTAAGTGTTATACTCAACTTTAGTCGATGTCACGTATATCCAACAATTTTAATTTATTAATTATGTGAGTTATTGTATAGAAAAAAGATTGACAATTAAAATGATTTTTTAGCCATTCAATTTTACATGAATAATTAACATTAGATTTAAGTAAAATTGATCTTTATTATTGAATGATCAATATTAAGTCTCTTCAGACTTCAGCTCTCACATTTGTTTTGAGGTTAGCAACCTCCACATTTTTTTTTTTGGAAAAAAAGTATAAAAGTTTCCTCATCAAATAACTTAGTTTTAAGTATTATTTTATCAACTTATAATTATTAAAATGAATGAAGAAAGAAAATAATGGAGATTAGGAGAGAAAACTTGAATTCAATTTTAAATAAATAGAGAGAATCTCACTTTGTTATTAAATATATTAATTATTTTTAAACTGGTAATTTATATATTAAGAAGGCTAATTATACTTAGATTTTCGTCTCTTATTATCATTTTTATTGCCGCTAGATTGATATACAAGATAAGTGAGAGATTAAAGGCATTGACTTTGAATTTAGTATAAAGATAATAGAGATGATTCGTGACAAGACACGTATTTTTTTTTTTGGGTGGTGGTGGTGGTTTGTGTGTTAAGCGCATGACTAGACGCTTCTATTTTATAATTTGTTTAACAAAATTATTCAATCCATCTTCAATAGTGTCCCGGAGATCAGATTTCATTTATAAGTTAATTAGTCTAACTGACAATGCTACTGGTGAAAAAGCGTCTCGTTGGGAGTCCAACGAGTAACCCACCTCAGCTATAAAGTAATTAAAAGCTCTTCACGTCATGCTAGACCTTTTTTTTTTTTTTTAATTTTAAAAATTATTGTATATTTTGGCATAATTTTACTGTTCTAATAAACAAGGGTATGCATGTTCATAATTAATTTTAACAAAAATAAAACCAAACCAATTTTAAATGGTTTGGTTTTCAAACCGAACCGATTTTCTTCTTTTAATACTGGTTTTTAATTTTTAAACCGGTTTGAAATCGGTTCCAAAATCGATTTATGGTTTATAACCGATTTTCATTTAAAACCGATTTTCAATCGATTTAAATTCAAAACCGATTTTAAATCAAAAGCGGTTGAAGTTCAAAATCGATTTTTAACAAATTCAAATTTGATTTTTGATGGATTGTGCTATTTTTATAAGTAGTCGTTTGTTTCTCCCTGTTATAGGTAGTTGACCAACTATTTCTTGCAAGAATTTTTATTGTTTTGGAACTCTTCGGACAAGATGATTCTTATAGAAATTATTTCACGTTGTTTTGAGAGTGATTGGTAGAAGAACAGTTGAATTATTTTAAAATTATTAAAAAAACTGCTCTTCGTTCTCTCAAAATCTATGTTACTAAGAGTTTCATTTAAACTGATGGAGGAAGATATGGATAGGGGTGTTCAAAATTTCCAAAAGAATTAAATCAATCCATAATCAAACTGCTCCATATTTTAAAAATCGGTTATTTTTTAAAATCGATTTCATATGAAACTGTATTTTATTTTTATACAAACCAAAAAATAATTAATTATCCATAACCAAACTGCTCTATAATTAAAGAACAAATAAGTAAATCTATTGTGAATTGTCTTTTTAACGGTGCTCTCAGAGACGTTAAGTCAATTGATTAATTTCGTTGCTCTTTTCGTTATGATTTTTTAACTTCATATTTGTCATCTTAAAGCCTTCGCCTTGTCAAGTTATGAGTTTTCCCAGAGGCCTATATATGGTTATTTATTTTTTTGGGAAAAAAAGTTGTTACGTTACATAAGAAGTGTTTTCTTAAAATGCAACTTTTCGATTTATGTGTATTTGTTTTTTTTTAATAAATATTTTCTACTTGAGCTGCTTAACTTCTTTTACCAGTTTATTGTTTGGAAGTTTGAGTCAATTGACTAATATAATAGGCATGATAAAAGATAATACTTATTTGTGCTTTAATTGTAGAGCAGTTTGGTTATGGATAACCAATTATTTTTATGGTTTGGTAAATAACCAGTTTATAAAATAAAATGCACTTTCATATGAAACTGATTTTTAAAAATAATCGATTTTTAAAATGTGGAGCAGTTTGGTTATGGATCAGTTTGATTCTTTTAGACATTTTGAACACCCTTACATATATATAACATGTGATAATGAATGAGATTAGTGTTTTTCATGTCTATAATATATATAAAAATATTTGGGTTCATATTTTTTTCTCTCTTATTTTTATATAAGTTCCATATATACATATAGGGAATATCATCTGTCATTTTAAAGGATATAAGCTTATATCATTTTAGATCCTAACCGTTGATTTCCATCTATCAACGGTTATAATTTATTGGATCAAAATTATTAATTAATTAATAATAAATTTGGCCCATTAAGTTTGACCCAATAAATTATAACGGTTGATGGACGGAAATCAACGGTTATGATCTAAAATGATATAAGCTTATATCCTTTAAAATGATAGATATTTTTCTTATATATATATATATATATATATATATATATATATATATATATATATATATATAGGGCTTAACATTTCTGCAGCAGCCGTAGATAGTGTTATCTACAGCTGACACAAAAAAGTGGGCCCCACGGCTTTTAAAAAAAAAAAAAAACTCAGGATCCGTTGTCGTATCCTAGGATTCGGACGTGTATCCTTGCTTGCTGTAGGTACAACAGCTGCAGAAATCATTTTGCCATATATATATATATATATATGAGATTTGCATTTATCATTTAACATGACATAATAAAGTTTCCTACACTCACATCATTTTGTGGGGCCCACACATTTTGAAGCCAAAAAAATAAAAATATTACGACACGCAAAACGAATCTCTATAACATTATACAGTCACTTTTTTCTACAACATAACTTATATAAAAGATAAAATTATTCACAACTTTGATCGCATGACGAATAAGTATTTCTTAATGAATGTTCTGCTTAAGGAAAAGTGGCCATTTTTTTCTTTTTGCTATATATTAATTATGGAATCCAATAAGTAACTCTCTCTTGAATTTTCAATTTCAAATAAGCGGGCGCACACAGACAGCGTGAACCACCCCTGTAAATCCATTAGAAATAGACCAGTCCACTGAGAGAAGCGCATAGTCTACTTCTTAAGTTTCAGAATTGCGTGGGAGTCATTAAGCATTTAATTTGAAGAAGGAAAAACCGAAAAAACTCTGCACACATTCCAAATGAGAGCCAAAACAGTTAGAGGAAATTGGAGCTGGAGAACGAACAAGTTCGGCTTGCCTTCTGTTTTCCTTATATGCATCTTCTTCTTTCTCGCTGGATTGTTTGGTTCCAGTCTCTTCTTTCACTCTCAGGTTTTCCTTCTCAATCATAATTACATTCTTCAATATTTTAAGCTTGTTTTTCTTAGATTTTGTTTTGTTTTGCTGGAAAATATTCGAAGTAAGAGATCGATGAGAATTTGCAGGAAGATGAATATGATCTGAGCTTGAGGTTGAGGATGAAGGCGAGTTTGCTTGAAAAATCGATGAAGGAGGAGACGGAGTACCGTTTGTTGCATCCTGGAGAGTCCGGTGACGATTATATTACATCGATTCCTTTCCAGGTGTGCAATTTTGTTTCTTCAGGCATTCACAATCTTTTGCTGAAATATTTTTTCCGCTAGGTTAGATTAAGTCAGCATTTCATCAGTTAAGAACTTGAGATGATCGCGGCAGTTTATGATTTCTTTTCCGGTTTGACATAATGCAATGTTTATGAAATTAGTTGGTTGGATAATTGATTTCGGTGAATTTACTATGTTAATATTTTGATTTCATAGACGTTTATGAAAAGGATCACAATGCTCAAATTTATTATTTCATTGTTTTTTAGATAGGATCAGTGTTAAGCATACGATTCTAATGAAGGATTGACTTCAGCTTTGACTCTCCAATAAATGTATCTTTGATTTGTGTTCCTTAGGTTTTGAGCTGGTACCCTCGCGCTCTATATTTTCCTAATTTTGCAAGTGCAGAACTATGTGAAAGCATAATTTATATGGCAAGGAGAGGACTCAAACCATCAATGGTGGCGTTACGCAAAGGAGATACGAAGGAGAGTACAGAGGGGATCAGAACAAGGTAGTGTGTATGCTACTATGTCTCTGTAGAAGAATTAACTTTTTGGCTTCATTACAAACAGCATAAATTAGAATGGTTAATTGTATAATTTATTGTGTCCAAATTTTTTTGTATGATTTTATCCAAAAGGTCAATAAGACTCGTGTACTTAAATCGAACGTCCCAAGAAAGCATTTATTATTCGAACGACTAAGATAACAAACTTATAATTACATGGTATATTCTGATTGGGATTATGGTGAGTCTGACAATGATTTTCAGCGTCTGAGAAATTAAGACGCAACCCATTTGATTCCTCTATATTTGCTCTTCTATTTCTTGCCTCTAACCTGGACAACGAACTTTTTGAGCAAGATGTTAACATCTTGTTTTGACTTCCTGAATCCTGACCTCTTATCTGCAAGAGTTGACCTTCCATTAGCTGCTTGTAGACAGAACGGGAGGCCTCATGCAGTTCTTGGATCATAGGCTTCGTAAATTTATTATGTTTTAAACTGAATTTCGTCAAAATAATATCCTCTATTAATCCGTGGGAGTTTCAATTCATGAGGCATTTGGTAATATGCTGATATTTTATACGCGTGTGTATGGTGCTAACGGAAACCTAAGATAAATGATTTGGCCCATCGGAGAATTGGTGATTATAGTTATGAGGACCTTTTCCTTAAATCCAAAGATGCTCATGATGTCACAAAGTTCCATAAATATATATCACGAGCTTATGTTTACATTTTTTTTAACAGCTCTGGTGTGTTTATTAGCGCTTCTGAGGATAAAATGGGGATATTAGATGTCATTGAGGAGAAAATTGCCAGAGCAACTAAAATTCCCAGGACTCATTATGAGGTAACGTCTCTACTAGCTGTCTCTCTCTCTCTCTCTGTCTCTCTCTCTCTCTCTGTCTCTCTCTCTGTGCAGAAAAGGAATTTTAAAAAAGCTTGTCAAAACCTGTTGTTTGTTTTATCTTTCCCCCTACCGGCTTAAGTTAAAAACATACTACAGGAGGTTTATAACCACATTGTTTCTTTAATAGAGGCAGACTTGTTCCTTCACATAACCTTATTTGATCTGACTCAGTTTTTGATGTTTGAAGCATAACAAATCTATTAACAATAAACATAATGTTAATAATGACAATCACATTAAGGGCAAACTCCAGTGCACAATGCTCCCGGACAAAACTACAATCACATTTGCCGTATGATAATATTAATTTCTAACCTGCAAGGGTGACACACTTGGTTAGTGGAGTGTGTCCCAAGGATCAGCCGATCAGGTCTGATATTCGATCCTTGAAAAGATTCTAAATCTTGGTGGGGAATTAGTCTCACCGGTTTAACATACCCTCTATTCCAATGAGGTGCTAGCTCTAGGGCTGTAGGACAAAGTTGAATGGGGATATGGATTTACCATATTAGAGATACTAATATCTATTTTTTCAATATTAAGAGATCATTTAATTAACAAACATAGGTTCGCAGTACATGAAAGACCTTTCTGTACGGAAATGGTGGATTAAAATTGACTCATTGGTGAGTATGGGCTAACGGAAATTCAGAGAATCATTTTGTAAATTTACACAATTTCGAACAGTGGATTTGTTCCTCTTGGTTGGCGGGAAATTTTATTGTCTAAATTTAATGCCCATGAGGTTTGAGTTTTACCCATTTGTACAAAACGAATCTTGCATGGTTCAACCACCCAACATTTGTGTTGTCATTGTTGGATATATTAATTGTAACGCCTGGCAACTTGCAAGGATTAACGACTGTCCCCACACACTAACACGAGACTTTTCAGCGTGCTTTGTCCTCACTCGCACACTTTCCGGGAAAACTTCCTAGGAGGTCACCCATCCCTGAATTGCTCCAAGTCAAGCACACTTAACTGTGGAGTTCTTCCGAACCGGGCTACCGAAAAGTAGATGCATCTTGTTAGTATAGGTAGTACCAATTAATTCTTATAAGCCATTCCCAACTGTACCGTCCCATACCAGCACAGTCTTTGGAATCCCTCTCTTTTGGGTGTTGATTCGATTCATTCATGTACCCCCGTCTCTAGAAGCCTGCCAGGAGCCGCTCCTTGTCCGTGCCCTTGCGCACCGGCGATCACTCCCCGCCCTCGTCACCGCCCGGGATGTTACATTAATAGGGTTCGCTTTTTGTCATGTCACATGACAAGACCATTTTCCTGCACACACAAATCAAGTGTGGGTCCCACGCTTAAAAAAAAAAGTCAAACCAAAATCAGGATACGGCGCCGTATCCTAAAGATACGTTGCCGGATCCTTGTTGCAGGAATGAATAGTGTCATTCCTGCAACATGATTCTTATATTTCCCATATTAATAATATAATCAACAATAGTATGTTCACATATAAGCCCAATAGGTAAAAGCATGGTTATTTAGATCCATATGGACTGGAGCCCAATAGCTTGCATTATCTCTAGGGTTGCCTAAGCTGTAGGTAACACTATATTGAGCATTCCAGAATTTGATGTATCTTGGTGTAATACTTCAAGCACCTCTAAACCCTTTTCTCTCCAAACTCATTACCTCCAACAGTCATGACATGAGATGGTGACTTCTTTATTCTTTCCTGCCCTAACAGAGTAATAGTCCTCATGTTGCTATGTTTTCAGTGCCTGAACTACCAGTTGACATTGCTATTGAAGAAAAAGAATAGGGTCACTGATGCTGAAATATTAATGGCACTATGATTTCTGAAATTTTTTATCTTCAATTTTTCTTTTGATAAGTGCAATAAAAACTTCTATCTAGGATAAAAGTATTGTTTGGAGAAGTTGACTTCACCTTTAGTTAAAATCATTTTTGAATTGAAAGAAAGTGGAAAGGAACTGTAAACACCTTTAGGACGAATGCTCTTGTACGCTTAGACCATTGAATATTAGCTTCCCTTCCTGAGCTTTATATTATCTGCAACTCAGGTGCTTTTTGATTTTGTTGAATTTGTAAACCTCTTATTTTCAGGGTGATATATAAATTATCTGAAGAATCACTATGTTTCAGGCATTTAATATCCTCCGCTATGAGGTCGGACAGAAATATAATTCTCATTATGATGCATTCCATCCTGCTGAATATGGCCCACAAAAGAGCCAAAGGGTACGTCTGAAGTAAAACTCGTACATTCTCGTTTGCAAGTTGTTTTAGTGATGGAATTTGTGGTTAGCTGTAATTAGGGGTGTTAGCGGTCTGGATTGGATCGGTTTTAGAAGCAAAAATCATCCGATCCAATCCCTTCGGTTTGATCATATAATCATCTATTCGGTTTTGATTTTTTTTCAAATCCGATCTAATCCAATCCAATTTTTTCCGGTTTGGATTGGATCGGTTTTCGGTTTTTTGAAAATCCTAAAATTTATTTCATGATTATTCTGCAAATAACATCTTTTTTATATATTGGCTTTGTAATTTATTTATTTTTGAAATACAAAAACATTAGTAAACTATAATATAGTTTTTTTTTTTTGGGCAATGAGATATGAAACTTTACAAAGATAAAAGTTTGTCGGTGAGATGTGACTATATTTTTTTTTTGGTTTAGTTGATGGATTAATAGGTCTTGGGTTTAGAAATTTTTAGGCTATGATTAGAAAAAAAACCCAAGTAGGTAGAGAGAAATTAATATATTGGATCGGTTTTCATCTTCCAACCAAAAACCGATCCAATTCAATTAAAACTTGCGGTTTTTTTTTGGTTTTCAATTTTTCGGTTTTCGGTTTATTCGGTTCGGTTATCGCAGTTTGAATCGGTTTGGATCGGTTGATGAACACCCCTAGCTGTAATGCAGATAGTATTCATGTTTTAGCACCCGACACCAACAGGACTTGTCATTTTCTATGAAGTTTGATATTCATCTAAGGCTACTTCATGGTGTTTGAATCTATAAGAAATGATACATACGATAAATTACACTCCTCACCTCTAAGAGAGAAGTTACACTATCTTCTCTTCTATTTTGAAAAATTACACTTTCTTAAGAGATGAAAATGTGCTACATGAGTCTAGTACATTCTAATATAAACGAACCGGAACATGTCATTGAATTTATTAGGTCATGTGAGACAATTTCATTCATTCATAGATAAATAAACTCTGATCCTTTCCTCACTCTCTATTCCAACACTTTTACTCATTCATCTCTCGTCACCGTTGATTTGTCAATAAAATTAAACGGATAAAATCATCTCACATGAGATCATGTGACATGAAAAGATTCATTCTTGGTTAAACGAACCTTTTAGTAGAGATGAAAAGAAAGAGTTTCTCGGGTTTGAATAGAAGTAGTTATTTTTGAACATTCCTCCTATATTAGCTTTAGAAGATGAAATAGGTTTTTAACACCCCAAATATCAGCTTCGGGTTTTCACCCAAAATCTTCATTTTATCTTTGTAAGTCACAAAGTCGATAATAGGATGGCAGGAGCTTAAAATTAACAGCATGTGACTGAGAGAGAGAAAAAATTGTCCTTAAGAGAATTATTCGCATTAAATTGGATAAAAATGTAGCACATATTAATCTTTTAAAGGAGGGGAGTATAATATTTTAAAATAGAAGAAAAGAGACAGTGAAGTTGGCCTACCTGGTTGTGTCTTGCTCTTTTGATATTACCCCTGCGATAAACCTTATAATTTTTTTCAAGAGAAACCTTTTACATACTTGTTTGTACACACAAGGAATGCGTAGTAGTGGTGTTGTAATGTAGGTCAAATTAAAGTTTATACAGGTCTAGTTTTACTCTGATGCTTTTCGTCTGTGCGTCAGTGTAAAAGTGGTGTGTGTAATTGCATGTTTGTAGATTAGAGAAATATAATATAAAATTATTAATGTAACTTTCATATAAAGGCTTAAACTTTTATTGAGATGGTTATTTTATTTGTATGATTCACTCTTCAAACTCAATTGACTCTTACGTGAAAGGATATCTTTATCTAACCACTTAAACTTTTTGAGTTGGAACTATTCTTTACCGTGCAATTTGATTATACTGATATACATTATTAAGCTCTGCCTCGATTTTTATTTTCCATTATTAAGTAGAAGTTTTAAATCCATATGATGCTTAGATAAAATATCCACAATATAACTACCAATTTTTTTCCCATATTACTGCATCCCTAATTCAAATCTAATTGCTTATACTTATCTCCATCATATATTCTAATATCCCTAATCGCTCGCTTTCTCTACATTTTTTTTTTTTTTTTTGAGTTTGCGTAGTTTGTTTAAGTAACGGTTCTTAGTGAGTTCAATTCTTAACGTTTGTTTTGGTTAACGATGCAGATGGCTTCATTTTTACTATATTTAACTGATGTTCCAGAAGGTGGGGAAACCATGTTTCGATTTGAGGTAAAACCAAGTTTGTGACTACAGCTTGATTCATATACTTCCTATTTTCTTGTCGGGTACTTCGTAATTATTGCATTATTATTCTGCAGAATGGATTGAACATGGACGGTAGCTATGGTTACGAGGACTGTATTGGTCTAAGAGTAAGGCCACGCAAGGGAGATGGACTTCTATTTTACTCATTGTTCCCTAATGGTACAATAGACCCGGTGAGTAGTTTTGTCCTATAATCTTTGTTGTAATCGTTTTTAACTGATGCTATGGGCAAGTCTGACATGAAGACTGTTTTACAAGTGATCACAAGATTAAAACGGATCTCTTCCTTCAACTAAGATAATTTAAAGGATAAAAACTCATTTTAGTTCTTCAAATATGCAATCAAAGAAAGTTAATATCAATCTAGTCTTACGATTATAGAGAATGACATCAATTAAAACTTTTGAAGAAATTGACATCCATTCAACTTATCAATAGTAACAAGTGATATCAATTCAGTTCTTAAGCTAGAGCTTCATTAATGGCATATTCACAATCCAAATTAAAGAACATTTTTTTATGTTAATTTCTATGATTGAGGAACAAAATTTATGTAACTTTCTTTCAAAGACCAAAATGATAAATGACATCTTCTCTATCTTAGGGTGATTGAAATGGATGTTTTCAAAAAATTTAACAGTATGCATATCATTTGTGAATGGGAAAATCTTTAATAGACACAAATATCTTTATTTACAAAATCTTTCTATAAAAAGTAAAGTTGTACAATAAATATCATATTAAATATAGGGAAATATAGCTTTGTTGTTACTGAAAAAAAATAAATTCTGCAGCAATACATAAAAAAGCCAGGATATACCGACGGATCTTGTTTTTGTTTTTTTTAAATGAGTGGGTCCCATTTTTTCTATGTCTGTTGCCAAAAAAAAAAAAAATTAACCACAGAAAAAAAGTACCCTAAAAAATATTACAAGCCTTTGATACTAATTTTTCTTTCTGGAGACTATATCTATTAGAAAATAGATCTTCTCATGTTATAGTATGGTCATATAAAATTTTTGTGTCTATCTTTTTTTTTTATTAATGATAATTGGACTTCACTTATTTAATGTATGTGAAAAAGAGATAGGCATAAAATATTTCACATGACCCAATTATGCGAATTTTTAACATGAGAGAATTCAGTATCGTATTTTGTGAGTTATTTTATACCCTTTGAGGTAACTCTTCTTTTTCGAGATTTTTGCACTTGCTGTGTTAACATGTGTTGCTTTCAAGAAAAGTATATTTCTTTTCTTAAATCGTTAAAACTGCACTTGCATTAAATCCAAAGTCTTTTTTTTTTTCTTCAATGTCATCAAAACAAAAAAGCTTTAGAAAACGAGGCTTTGTAAACATGCTTGTGCTTTTTTCGTCATTGAATTCTACATTTAAAATCATCTGTTAACTGAGCAAGATACCAATCTTAAGGTACTGTAGAATTTTATTTATTTATTTTTTAAATAGCTTCTGAAAAAAGCACAAAAAGCACGTAGAAATATGTTTTCAATTTATAGCCTTTTATAAAATACTCTGTTCAGTATTTTTTTGAAGACTAGTTCCTTCTTTAATTAAAAAACAAATAGCAAATCACTCATTTCTTCATATTTTAAATAGGGTTTATGTTTCTCGGGCCAAAAAATAATTTTATCTCCTGCACATACATGTAAGGAAATAGTGCCCTATGAGAACAAGAGAGAGAAAAATCTACTGAGTGTGTAAGAAATAACATTATTTTCACTTTACAAAAGAAACAATAAACCCATTTTAAATTTATTATAAAGATCTCTTCTCATAATAAAAATATATATGAAATTGCTTACCAAAAAAAAAAAGTAAAAAAAAAAAAGATTTGTCAACAAAGGTGCTTAGTTGTGGATGTTTTATAATCAAGTTTTTGATTGGCAATATATGTCGAGTTGATGTGATTCATTAATGTTTCTTATATTGTAACACATAAAAATATGTAGATTCACTTTTATGCATGTAAAGAGAGAAAAAAAAATATGAGCACCATGTGTATAGAAAATAAAAATATCTTCTACAACATGAGAAACACTAATCCGTTCAAAACAAACCTTCAATTTGACAACCGTACTAAAATTTTTCCTCAACGTACATGGTTGAATAACATTTTAAAAAATGTAAATTTTTTGAAGTGTAAAGTTTTGTATAAATTTTTTGAATATAAATAAGACCTCAGGCCCAAAATATAACCGAGTGAATTTAATTTATCTAATTAATTAATCAAGCAATATTTTGATCATTATGTATCCTAAAATTTATATATATTTCAGAACTAGATACGCTCATTGTTTGACTATCTATAATTTTCTTTTGCAGGCATCACTCCATGGGAGCTGCCCTGTGATAAAAGGGGAGAAGTGGGTGGCTACAAAGTGGATAAGGGATCAAGCCTGGGGAAATTTTTAATATGCTTCAGGTCCAATCGCGTATTTTATTTGTTAGAACCATGTATAATATATAATAACAAAGTGGGCTTCGAGTCAAAACTATACACTTATTCACAGATTAATTTAGATGTTTAATTTCTTAGTTAATTGGTTTAGTTAGATATTATGATTTTAATATACAATAATAATGCCAACCGATTTCTTCCACATAACAGATAAATTTTCAGTAACTAGTCAATGTGTGAAATGCAATCAATTTTCACAAAAGCAATTGCTATCCAAACTTGGACTAAATGTTTTAAAGAGGAGATGTTTACAACCTTGTACTTGGTATATCTTGGATCTTTAGTCTCTGCTTGCTATCTTTGCATATCAAAAGAGAAAAAGATAAAATGATTTTTCTTGGAAGTATCAATTTATAACAGAATAAGAATAACAAGTCTTACACTTATACACGTGTTAGTGCGACATCCATCTTAGCTGTTGATCCCACGTGTATCTAACTATTTTAATTTATTATTACTTTTTTTTTAATAAATGAAAGTTCAGACTAGGGGAAGACACACCCCCATGCAAGGCCAACGAAGACTAACAACCTGGGTTTATGGTAGGATTACATATCACCTATCAAAGAAGAAAACCTGAAAATCAAACCCAAGCTAGGACTAGCGTAGCCATTGACCCCATTTGCATATTACGACTCTAACAATAACAAACAGCTCTAAATGGCATGAGAATAAGTGAAGCCTACTAGCTGAAATGTGTCCTAAATCAAATTAATAAAAATGACATCACCACAGCTTCGAATGTTTTCATGGTAGCTTCCTATGAACCTTTTTTGGTCATAACTTAAAGCATGTCAGGGTTAGTCATGTGTTATGGATTATACTAATAAACTAGGTTAAGTATAAACTAACAACCCCAGCCCATTACACCTGACTAACCTTAGTATGCTAACAAAACCAAAACCATAAGATTCACTTTTCACCTTGTGATCTTTAGGCGCACTTCTACAGAAACTGGCATATGTCACCAAATACAGATTCTGATAGCAGCTTCGGAAGCTTGTGCGCTTGATCATATCCTCCATAAGCAAACCCAAGCAGCAAAATATGCAAACTACAATTTATAAGCAGAATTAGAAACCCGTTAGTCCTGCATAACTTAAAATGGCTAACATACACAAATTAGAAGAACTTGGTCTCACAGACTAAGAATTTAAAAAACGAATTAAATGTGAAATTTCCTCGTTCAGACTCTGTCCTTACAGAAGGGACCCCAATGTCGGTCCAGTTCAGCACTCACTAGTAGTTGAGGTATTTTTTTGAAATTTATTTCCCGTTGCTTGCATTGGCATCATCTAGGTTCTTCATCTCTATACACCTGATTGCATACAACGAAAGAGACAAACATCTGCCACTACCATAGATCGCCAAAGGAATATATATTCACTGTTTATGCCAGTTGTTATATGGTTGCTTCCCCCATTGCTTCAGGGCATGCATGCTACCAGCTGCTAGCAATAAACCAAACACGCCAAACGTCATTAATGCTGCATTTCCAACATTCCAATAATAGCCACCCTGCAACAATAACGAGAAAGTTAATATGTATGTGACAACAAATACAAACATGAACCAGTAGAAACACAAGAAACATACAATTTTTTTTTTCACAAATCTTTTTTAGACAGGACATTGAGAATATGAATATTGCAAACAAACATTCAAAAGTAGTGTATTACTCCGGTACCCCATCTTTTTTATAAGGGTACCAATATCCAAGGAGAATTGTAAATCATTTATTGCTTGTTGATTATATTAAATGAATTTTCAAACATTTATGACAAAACTAACAACCAATAAATATTAGACCATACACCTTGGGTACATGGGTACCATACCCTTAAAGATATATTACATCTAAAATATCATATTCCATGAATTTAACTGTTCTCTGTGAGTCATATGAGCATGCAATGTTACACTATATAGCTATTCAACTACAGGGACAAGTTGCCGCAATCAACAAGTTCAACCCAAACACAAAAAGATATGTCTATTTTCAAAGCAGTGGCAGCTAGCTTGGTTAATCATTTCATAGACAAGAGTAATTTTTTAGATGTGTTGGCAGATGCAATAAGAATTTAAACCAGGACTTGTATCTGTTACTATAAGGGACAACCCTGGAGGAATTTAAAGAACTAACAAGAACATGGCTCTCTAACTTCAAAAACTCAAAAAGAAGTTATCTTTCATGACATGGTTGATGACAACACGTTAATAATGCTTAATTGGTTAATTACATGCTTCCTACAATTTCAGATAATGTTATGCACAAATACACACTTGCACCACAGAAAGCAGAATTGCTGCATTTGCAATGGCAAGAGAAAGGCCCATCATCCCTCCACGCAATTCATTAGGCACATACCTGCAAACAAAGTAACTGAAACTATCAAATCCATGATTGAGCTAATGAATAAGTACAACTCTTGTTAATGAGATTACATGGTCCTCAATCTGGCAAGTGAAGGTAAAATGAAGCCAACACAAGCATGAAACAAGCAAAATAGTGTCACCAGAACTCCAATTTCCTGCACATGATAAATTATGAGAGCAGACTCTAGATTTCCAGCTTGAAAATCTGTCTAAAGTATATTTGAGACTTTTTAAAGATAACAATAACTGCACCTGATAGTCAAAGGCCACAATAGACAGGAGAATAGCCAGTATGACGTATGCAAATACTAGGCAGTCCTCAGTTCTAAGCGATGATGGCCCACTAGTGAGACATGGAAATGCAGTGCTTCCAAGCATCCTTGAGCCCAGAAAGCATGGATATATCAATCCTAATTGCACTTCTCGCCCATCAGCCTAAAACCACAAGCATTAAGAATATAAATATATAAGCATTCTAAGACTTGGACTGAAAATGTAACAGGTTCAATAACTTGAAGCCTCTTTTTCAAAATGACTCAATCATTGAGAGAAACATGTTCCCACAATAATGGGCTGAGAAACAAAATCCCTTTTAAATTTGTTCAATTAAGTCCCATTCAAGATTCACCAATTCAAAGAAGCCTGAAGAAGAAAAGGAAGCCAGTAAAACATCCATTCAATGCAATATGGTCATAGTTTTCTAAATATTCTCAAATACATTGATCTCTCAGTGTATCATAAGCTGTGCTCTAAAATTTTAATATCATACCACCACTGTAGGTGCCCAAAGGATCCAAAAAATTCCAATGGAGAAGTGAAGGCAAGTTTGTGCCCATGCCAACAGCCATATCCTTTTATCTGTGGATTATAAAATTATAATCAGTATATACTCAGTATGTTACTAAAACTTTTCATTACACTGATGGAAAATCGAATAATGCATTACTCTAGTACCAACTCCTTTTCACAACTAACTTAAAAAAATATTATACTATCTTAGTCTGAATATAAAAATGGACTTTATCATGCATAGATGATAGAAACTAGATCAGAGATAAAATAAAAGAGACAACAGACAAGAGCTTTTGGCCCAGAAGAACTAGATTTTTGTATGTTAATGGGAATTGAAAGTACAAACTGACCCTATGGAATACATGTAACTTGCAGAAAAGAAGATTACAAACTAAAACAATTAACTATAGTAAATTGCAAAAGAAGATCTAAATGCAAGGAAGGAATAAACTCTAGAAGAAGAAAATGTACTCAGCACTTTCGAGAGGTGCTGCTCTCTCCCAATCCAAGATTCCCAAATTCTAGCCTAACCTCTCACATGCCACTTTCACTATTTAACCAACTCAGCAGAGTATTCTAGAATATTCTATCCACATGCTGAGTCATCCTCAAGAGCTAATCCTCTATAGCGCTTTCTATAGTACCTCTTCAGAGAGTCTTATCAATAGCTCAGGCCTAATACAGCTTGTGTGAAACTAAAGTAAAACAAGAACAAACTGTTGACAAGGAAAATTATCTATAAAAAGAATACAAGGAGATCAAGTGGTTAATCATTAGTGTTGTAAATATTAGTTATTTATTATTATTTGTTGTATTGGGCCAAGCCCATTAGGTTAAGAATTAGGTCTTTTATTCTCTATAAATAAAAACCTCTTTGTATCAGATTATTTACACAATTAATAATATTTTTTTGATTACCCTTTTTCAAGTTGGTATCAGAGCTCTCGATCCTGAGGGCTCTGCTTCAGCGCCTACGAAACCTTTTATTCTTTTTTATTTTTCGTCTCTCGCTGCCATTAGCCGCCACCGGAAAATTTTTCTGGGGACCTCTTGGACCGAGAAGACCACTGTTCCACTATTCCTCTTCCTTTTTTTGTATCTCGCACAGCAAGAACAAACGTGAACACAGTAGCAGAACAACGAGAACACTGCAACCACCGTACACAGAACCTGTTCATCGCGTTTTGGACCCTTTTCCGGTGGATTTTTTACTCCGACCAGCCACAGACACAGCCGCGTTCGCCGGACGACCTCGCCCTGAAAAGCCCAGCCCCAACGAACGTCACACGCGCCACCCTTCTCTCTGCTCGTGAAGCCCACGCGCCGACAGCCTCACCGGCGCGTGACAGTGGTTCTCGGCTGCGGACCACTTTTGTTCTGCTCGTCTCTTCCTGTTCTTTCTGGATCTGTCCTCGTTTGTTTAATCGGACACCATTTAGTGTCCTGATCTGAAACGGAGAGCTCTTTTTACGGTTCCGATCATCTTGATTCTATTCGTAGTGATATGTCAGACGTTGAAGACACATCAACCAATCAGCCTTCAGCTGGTCAACCACCTATTACAAGCCCGATGGCTATTCTTTCTCCATCTGATCTTCTTGTTCTTCATCAGAATTATCGTCTGAATGGAAAGAATTATGTACAATGGTCCCAGGTTGTTCGTACCATTCTCAAAGGACGCCGTAAAATTGCTCATATTGAAGGACATGTTCCTGCCAAAACAGCTCCAACATTTGCTGATTGGGATGATGAAGACTCACTTATTATGACATGGCTATGGAACTCTATGACTCCTGAGGTTAGTCAACACTGCATGTTTTTACCTACTACTCTTGAGATCTGGAACATTCTTAAGCAGACCTATTCAATGAAGCAAGATGTTGCCACTTGTTATGATCTGAGGAATCAGATTTTTTCTACCAAGCAAGGCTCTCTCTCTCTAACAAAATACTATGGTATTATGAATCAGCTATGGACTGAGCTTGATCAGTACGAGAATTTGAAGATGGAATGTAGCAAGGATGCAGCCACTCTGACCACCTCCATCGAATGCCATAGGATCTATGATTTTCTTTGTGGTCTCAACTCAGAATATGACCCTATTCGAGTTCAAATTCTTGGTAAGGAAAAATTACCGTCTCTTTATGAAGTTTTTCACATTGTCAGGGGTGAAGAAAGTCGCAGGGCAGTCATGATGGATGCCAAAGTGTCTGAAGGGTCCATTATGCTCTCATCTAAAGTTACTACTCCAACTCTTTCTGATTCTAATCCCACTGATGGGTCTGCTATGATTTCAACAAAAAGGGATGGTTCTTCTCAAAGGAATTCCTTTACAAGATTTTTTGATGGTGCATCTTCTAGACCTAAGAAAGATGATCGTTGGTGTTTTTATTGTAAAAGAACGGGTCATATCAAGGATCTATGCTTTCGCCTCCATGGAAAGCAAACAGTCCCTTTCCTGATGCCTGCGTATAAGTTCAGTTGCTATTTATTAAGGAGCGAAGTCTACCATTAGTTATAAAAAAAATGAATCTCATCTGTCCATGAAAAAGGAATTTCTCGTGATTTTTTGCCTGTTCTTCTTAGAAAAGATGGCAAGGATGCGTGGTCAAACGCATTTTACTTCCTCTGAAATAGCTCCTGCACCTAATCCAACCTGCATTCCGTCAAGATGAGTTGGAACGGCTCCGAACCATCCTTGACTCTTTGAGTAAGCCATCTGATACTAATGCTTTGGCTATGACTGGTATGAGCTCCAAAACTTATTCTTTTCTTTCTTCATGTACTAATTTTAAACATTCTTGGGTTGTTGATTCTGGTGCTACTGATCACATGGCTTGTTGTGCTGACCCCTTTACTTCTTATCATCCTACCATTGGAACTCATACAATAGCCGTAGCTGATGGCTCACATACATCAGTTGCAGGTTCTGGTAACATAAACTTAGAGCAGTCCTTACATCTTAAAAATGCTCTTCATGTTCCTAAACTCTCACGAATTTTCTTTCTATTCATAAAATTACAAAAGATTTGAATTGTACTGTAACCTTCTTCCCTACTCACTGTGTTTTTCAGGATCTCGTCACGGGGAAGACGATTGGTAGTGCTAAAGAGCAAGGTGGGCTGTACTATCTGGTGTCACAATCTCCCGCCAATAAAGTAACGGATCACATCTTGCTGTCTCATGGTCAATCAACTGTTGATTCCTTGATTTGGCTTCATCATAAGCGCTTGGGACATCCTCCATTTAGTTTACTCAAGTCTTTATTTCCCTTATTGTTTTTATCTAAGTCTGTTGAGTCTTTTCATTGTGATGTTTGTGAGTTTGCTAAGCATCATCGTGTGTCTTTTCCTTCTAGTATTACTAAAAGTGTTGAACCTTTTGATCTTATTCATTCTGATGTTTGGGGTCCTTCTAAGATCCCTCATTCTTCTGGAAATAAATGGTTTGTTTCTTTTATTGATGATCGTGTAACTTGGGTTTACTTAATGCGTGAAAAGTCTGAGGTACCACAAATATTTTTTCAATTTTATAAAATGGTTGAGACCCAATTTGGTAAAAAAATCAAGCGACTAAGGACTGATAATGGTACTGAATATGTTAATCACTGTTTTTCCCAATTTATACGGAATAACGGTATGCTTCATGAACTTACTTGTGTTGACACCCCTCAACAGAATGGGGTTGCTGAAAGAAAGAATCGTCACCTTCTTGAAGTGGCTCGTGCATTTGATGTTTCAGACACATGTACCCAAATACTATTGGGGAGATGCTATTCTTACTGCAGCATTCTTGTTCAACCATTTACCCACTCGGGTACTTGACCATGTAAGTCCTATTCACTCGATAACTTCTTTTTTCCCTTCTATTCCAACTATGAGTCTTCCTCCACGAGTGTTTGAGTGTGTTGCTTTTGTTCATGTTCATAAACATCATCGCAGTAAGTTGGACCCTAGGGCTCTTAAATGTGTCTTCCTTGGTTATGTTCCTGATAAGAAGGGCTACAAGTGCTATCACCCTGGTAGTCGAAATTTTTTTGTTTCTATGAATGTTACATTTCAGGAATCTGAGTCCTTTTTCCAAGGTCCTCATCTTCAGGGGGGGGGGGAATAATTCACCAGAAAACTCATCACCTTCCTTCTTTGAGTTTGAATCTCCAGTGTCTACTCCTTTGCCTGTGTCAGTGTCTCCTCCTCTTGTTCCTGTTCCTTCTATGACTGATCCTCCTGTGACTGATACATCAAGTACACCAGAGATACGGAAGATTGTGACACCTGAGTTGGTATATCAAGAAGGAAACAACCCACATTGCCTCACCAGCAACCTCAATCGTCTGAACCACTCGTAAGTCTTGAAACTCATATTTCTGATCATGATGTTAATACTTCTGAAGACTTACCCATTACTACTGATTCTGATAATTTACCCATTGCTCTAAGAAAAGGAAAAAGATCTTGTTCCAAGAAATCTTGTTCTTCCTGTCCCTCTTGTACTCAATACCCTATCTCCCATTTTGTTTCCTCTGCTAATCTTTCTGTGCTGCACAAAAGCTTTGTTTCAGCACTAGATTCTATTTCAATCCCAAAATCAGTACATGAAGCCTTGAAAGATGGGAATTGGGCTCAAGCCATGCAAAAAGAGATGAATGCGTTGGAGAAAAATAAAACATGCAGGTTATTGATAGACCTAACGCAAAGAAAGCAGTAGGGTGCAGATGAGTTTATGCCCTGAAATATAATTATGATGGAACTCTTGAGAGATACAAGGCTCGATTAGTCGCCAAAGGTTACACTCAAACCTATGGCATTGATTATGAAGAAACCTTTGCTCTTGTTGCAAAAATGAATACGGTGAGAGTCTTGTTATCCCTTGCTGCCCATTACAATTGGGATATAAATCAATTTGATGTGAAAAATGTTTTCCTTAATGGAGAGTTAGAAGAAGAAGTCTACATGGAAATTCCGCCTGGTTTTGATTCTGTGAAGGGAGAAAATAAAGTTTGTAGATTAAAAAAGGCCTTGTATGGATTGAAGCAGTCACCTCGTGCCTGGTTTGGAAGGTTTACTAAGGTTATGATGACCTTAGGATACAGACAGAGTCAAGGAGATCACACTCTTTTCTTCAAGCACTCCCAAAATGGGAAGCTTACTGCGCTCCTTGTATATGTTGATGGTATTATTATCACAGGTGATGATTTTGTGGAGAGACAGATTCTGCAAACACGGCTTGTCTCTGAGTTTGAAGTCAAAGACCTTGGGAAACTGAGATATTTCCTAGGGATAGAAGTAGCTCATTCAAGCAAAGGAATTTTTATCAGCCAGAGGAAATATGTTCTTGATCTTCTCAAAGAAGCAGGAAAGCTCGGGTGTAAACCCTTTAGTACTCCTATTGAGCAGAATCACAAGATAGGCTATGAAGAGGAAAATTTCTCCAGTTGATAAAGGACAATATCAACGGCTATTTTGGAAATTGATATATCTGGCTCATACTAGACCAGACCTAGCTTATGCTGTTAGTGTTGTCAGTCAGTTTATGCACGATCCAAAGGAGAAACACATGCAGGTAGTAGAGAGAATTCTTCAGTATCTTAAAGCTACTCCTGGTAAAGGATTGTTATTCCGACGTGATGGCAATCTCTCTTTAGAAGTTTACACTGATGCTGATTATGCTGGATCCGTGACTGACCGACGATCTACCACTGGTTATTGCATGTTTCTTTGCGGTAACTTGGTGACATGGAGAAGTAAGAAACAAGACGTGGTTGCCAAATCAAGTGCAGAAGCTGAATTTCGAGTTATGGCTCAAGGCATTTGTGAGTTACTGTGGCTGAAAATTGTACTTGATGATCTCAAAATAAAATGTGAGGGATCTATGAAACTGCTATGTGACAATAAGTCCACTATTTGTATAGTTCATAATCCGGTTCAACATGATCGGACTAACATATTGAGGTCGACCGTCATTTCATCAAAGAGAAACTTGATAGCGAGTTGATTACCACTCCATACATTCCCACTAGGCGTCAATTAGCTGATCTATTGACAAAGGGGCTTCCTTCAGACAGATTTCAAGAACTTACTAGCAAGCTGGGAATGATAAATATCTATTCCTCAGCTTGAGGGGGAGTGTTGTAAATATTAGTTATTTATTATTATTTGTTGTATTGGGCCAAGCCCATTAGGTTAAGAATTAGGTCTTTTATTCTCTATAAATAGATACCTCTTTGTATCAGATTATTTACACAATTAATAATATTTTTCTGATTACCCTTTTTCAAGTATTAGAAAGTCAGAGATATTGAAAACAATAATCAATTGCAGCTTGGTATAAGCAATCATGAATTCCAAAATATATATTCATGATGGCAGAGAAGTCAAATCTCAAAGACATGAGACCCCAATTTAATATAGCTGAACCTCTACATGTGCATTTCCCACTCTTATTGTATTTCCAGTAGATTCTTATTGCAGCTTCTCTTGCAACATGAAAGGAATCAATAGTGAATCTTTATTCATGGAACAAGTATAAATACAACGCAAAGCAAAAACTGCCACAGAAAAGGAATTAGATACCTAGGGTCAGTCAAAGCAGGGGAAAGGGGCAACTAGAAAAGTAAAAAGGAAACTGAAAAAAAAAGGAAGTATATAGGTAGAAAATAAAAGGAGAGAAAGAAACTCTAATAAGTAGTTCATCCTAAATACTAAGTCATGGTAGAAGACCATACATATTCTGAAGACAAGATAACAACTATAATCTAACAGCAACATAAATAAAAGGGACTACCTGTCTTCGTAATTCTAGAATGTTCACGCTCATTACTAAGTTATCTAATTGCCAAACAAATGTTAAGTACTGCATTCTTAATAGTGTTGAATTGTTTTTTTATCAAAAATAAAATAACGAGTTGTTGATTAAAAGAATAAAGAGTAAACACGAACAAGAAAAGCACGTGAACTTACCACCAAAAATATATGCATAGAAGGACATACTATATTCCTTAAAAGATGTTGTTCCTGGAGTTTCTGTCCATCCTCTGGTGAGAAAAGTGAAGCATATGGTTGCTAAGAAGATAATTGCAGAGGAAGGAGCAGTGTTTTTCTCCATATTATTCCCAATCAGCCAATTTGCAAACATTTGGCTGACAATAAAACATGCAGACTCAAAGAAAGTCATTAACCAATATGTGTCATTAAGGGAATCTAGCCTGTGCCCTTGCTGCAAACAAATACATAAAAATTCAGATTGACATTAAATTCTAGATATTTTAAGTATACCTATGTTCTATTTCTAACCTAGGCAGCCACATACTTTCCATATAAAGGTGAAAATAAAAAAATCTGGACCAAGTTATTCAATCAGGAAGAAATAAGCTCCTACTGGACCATGTCCTGTGGCAAACTTGCGGATGCTCAGACTGAAATCGGTGTCTAAGTGGAAATCAAGATCAAAGCACAAAATTTACTGATTACCTTTTCATGTTGAGTGACCATCCAAGTCTCAAAATTGAATGAAAATATTGTATTGGCCAGAGAGAGACATATGCTAGTCACAAAAATGCTTGGTTGCTCTGAAATCTTCTTCCATACGCCAACAAAGAAGTGTAGGATGCAAAAGATTAAACTAACTTTCTTGTGACCTCTGTAAAAATAGTAAGTAGTAAGTTAGTTTTGTTAGAATATCTAAAAAATATCATATATGTGTACTAAAAAAATATCATATACCTTGATTATATCTTAAATAGTTTAGTGTATCCTAGATGATTTCTGAGAAATAGTTTCCATATTTCCTTATTTTTCATGGTTTGTTTCCTTATTTTAGGAGTCTCTTATTTAATATAAATACGGTTTATTACTTTGTCCACAAGTTTAATCATGTAACAAATCATCTAAAACATTTGTTTAAAAAATGTACATATGTCTTGAATATGCATAGTTCAGCAGTAGTACTTCTCGAATAACCAAGATGCTTCAGATCTAGCATAGCAAACCCCACTTCACAGTTGAAATCACACATAGAAGGACGCCATGGCCAAATGGATATAAATATTGGAAAGTAATACAATCCACTGGAAAATGAGACTGACATTTCAAAATATATAGGTTTAAAGATTGATTATATGAACTTTCTTAACATTTGGAAATTACATTTCTTGGAAGGATGCATGTTTTTTTTTAAAAAAAATGTTCACACCTATATCATCTCAAATGTCCACTAAAATCAATAGAAAATACTTCAGTGAATTGCGCAACATCATCCGTGATTCAGAGTGTTAGTAATTCTTCCACATGGAAGGAATTCCATGCTATACACATTCAACATCAACAACACCTTTATCCCAAATTAATTGGGGTCGGTGGTAGATGAACCCAAATGAAAAATACAAAAAGGCCATGCTATACACATTATTATAACATAAATAATTAAACAAACAAATCATATCTACTGCAACAAATAGCATCGTGTGGTATCACTTCAACATCAAAATTGCGTAGATTGGTTCTTCTAATACTAAATGTTGAATTACTAAAACTTAAATAGTTTTAAGTGATCTAGTAACGGCAGCTAGTAAAACTAGAAGCTCACGTCAAATCTGAAAGCACGCCAAGGAAAGGAGCAGCAAAGAGAGCCGTTGTATATCCATAACAGAGAGACATGACCATATTTTCCCTGCCGATTCCATAGGAAGCTAACTCAAACTCCCCGAACACTGACCACAGACCTTCCATCACTGCGAAGACCAACAATAAGACAAACGAAATCATCATTCGCAATTTCACATCACCGATCTACAGCTCAATTGAGTAACTAATAATTTCAAACAAAAAACGAAATCGAAATTCGGTTTCCAAGAAAGAACATATTAAAAGAAAAGAAAATATAAATAAAATTTCATACCAAAAACTAAGAAAGCAATGTTCCCCCAAAGTTACGCAGAGGCATTTTTTTTTTCTTTCAATTATGCGTCCATAAACAAAAGAAATTTTAAGTTTCAAAAGCTGATCTAACAAATTTTCTTGGAAACCAAACATTCTTATAATTAATAAGAAAATAAACTGAAAGCCAACCTGAAGCGAGAGAATACAGGAGGAGGAAGTTACGCTGGAAACGAAGAAAAGAGGAAGAGATTCCATGGTCGAAGATCGTGGAGGTTCTGTTGAGGTTAGAGGCATGAGGGAAAAGACAGATCGAAAAGCAGCAACAGATGAAGAGGAAGACGTATATGGATGGATTTGGTTCCCAAACGGAGCTCTCAATGACTACTCCCATTGGCTTTTTATAATTCCGGTTTGAAGTCACACGGAGAGAGACCGCAAGAGAGTTTACGTTCCGTTCGGATCTAGGGTAAACCCTAGATCGTGATGATATATGAGAGCACACGAAGACACAGAAAGACTGAGACTGTGGGAGGGGATAGATTGATCGACGAGGGACGTTTCAGTTATATACTCATGGAGTCCAGTGGCTTTCTATGTGCGTATGGAGCTTCAAAAACGAAGAATACAGCAACGTCCTTGCTTTTGTTGAAAATCTGTTCGTATATGTAGGGGAGGACATTCTCGTCGTTACAAATTATAAAAATTGCAATTATAATCAAGCAACATCATTACGAAGAAATTTTTTAATATACTCGGCGGTATCAAATTTTTTTGTGCTCCTTTTTTTTTTTTTTTGGTAAATAAAATTATTTTTATAACCCTCTCTTTTCTTATATTTTTCTTTCTATCTTTTTTTATTTTTTATTTTTTATTTTTGGCGTGTAGCATCATGCTCTCGGAGCAGGAAAGAGACGCTCCATTACGAATACTAGAATTGGCTCTCCATTAAGGTAGTGTTTGGTTCGGGAGAAAAAATTTTTTACTAGGGAAATGTAATTGATAGGGAAATGGTTGGAAAGTGAGTTTGGTAGGAAAATGTAAAAAAAGTTGTTTGGTTGACCCAAATATTACCGGGGAAATTTACTTAAATATGCAAAATTTATGTTCGGGAGAAACTTTGCACCTATTTTTTCACTTCTCCAGTTATCTCAAAATACCACATCTCAAGTGGTATTCTGTAACAGTGAATTTCATCCAAAAATCAACACAAAAGTCATTTTTCCATCTATCCTATTTGCCTGGTATTTTTTGAAAAAACCTGAACCAAACGTGGTATTTTTCAATATCCACTTTCATTTCCCCATCAATCCCAAAATAAACCTTCAACCAAACACTACCTAAAGAAAGTTATTTTGTTTAATATTAGGATTACATGCAATTTTTTTGTTTTAGAATTAAGCAATATTATTAAATCCAACTCAACTAGGCTGAGTTGAAAACCAACGAATCAATGACTTGATCGGTTTGAGTTAGTTAATGGATTAGCCATGCATATCAGATTAAGTGAAAACCGATTTGACTCGGCTAATTTGATCAAAATTAATGATCCAATCGAATTTTGTTAACTATGACATGTATATATATTTAAAAAAAGAAGAAGCAAAATACATCATTTTTTAAGCAGTAACCAAATATAAAATATGTAAGTTGCAATGCATACATATCCTTCGTTTCTGTTTGAAAAATTTAATCTTCAGCGGAGCTCAGGATTCAAGTGAAAGAGAAAATAAAATACTATTATTAGTTTTGTGTCGAAAAATGGACAATAACTCTCTTCTGAGTGTGAGTTCACTTTGTGAGAAATTTCAGAGAGAACAGTCTTGTTAGCATTTTGCATATATAATTGGCCAATTTCATCATCGTTTTGACCCGGTTAATTTGATCAAGACCAGTGACTGGGTCAAGCTTTGTCCCGAAAAGCTTAAGTCTACGTCAACAAATTTCAATTTGATCTGACTTAAGTCTAGTACGAGTCTAACTATTAGCCTGACTTGACCCGTTTATAAAAAATCAAATGATCTGCCTAGTCTGTTAGCCTGTTAATTTTTAACTTTCAAGTATGAAACAACTTTACAAAATACTCAAACTTTGTTGTTAAACCAAAAATCATAATTTCAACGTCCAAACAGAATCATGAATCACAATAAAACTCATACAATCTTTATTTAAGTCACTCTCAAAAGCAAAATGCTCAAACTAAATAACATATATTTCATAAGATCCAACAAACAATCCATACTATGTAAATTAAAATATCTACATGAATCCAACAAACACATCATGATGCTTGTAGTAAGTATAATTTTGCCCAAAAACTTTTTAATATATTCATATTGGTTCCTCCTACGTAAGAAATAAAGTCAGATTTCTATTAAAATATAATCAAATATAATTAAGTTATAAATAATTGCAATTGATTAAATTTATATTTTTTATTTTTCTTCAAGACATACTTATTATATTTTATTTTATTTAAAATAAATAGTACAAAATAGGTTGTAAGCTTATAAGCCAGGCCTTATGAAAGTGAGCATATGACCTTTTTATTAAACAAGATTTTTCAAAGTCCAAGTCCAACCTATTTTACGAAATATGCTAGGTCAGGTCCGACCTGACGTAGGCCGAGCCGTAGGCCGGCCCAACCCAATTTCACCCCATGTATATATATATTTTTAAAAAAAAGCAAAATACATCATTTTTTAAGGAGTAACCAAATATAAAATATGTAAGTTGCAATGCATACATATCCTTTCGTTTTTGTTTGAAAAATTTAATCTTCAGCGGAGCTCAGTATTCAAGTGAAAGAGAAAATAAAATACTATTACTAGTTTTGTGTCGAAAAATGGACAATAACTCTCTTCTGAGTGTGAGTTCACTTTGTGGAAAATTTCAGAGAGAACAGTCTTGTTAGCATTTTGCATATATAATTGGCCAAAACAAATTTATCTTCGTTCGAAAAATCCTTGAAGTTAATTTCACCTTGACTCATCGGAATGCTCTGCTTTTGGTTTCATATATGTTCATGTAAACGAAATTGTGGAAAAAGATCGATGAATATGACCTATAATCTTAATCCAACTTACACGCAATCGATTTCTTGTCAAGACTCGAACAATTTCTAGTGCATCCGAATTATGTGTTTCTTTGTTTGGCCCTTACATCATCGTTATGTAAAAGATTTTTGCAAACAAATTCCTTTTATAAACCATATTTCCTACTCAGTTTCACGCGTGCACAAGACACAAATATTCCCTACGGCAATGGAAGTTCATTAGGAGCAGACATTACATTCTGTCATCATATACAGAGCAGTTCCTTAACCTGGGGAAGATGCAGAATTATTTGACAATGTGGCCAAGAACTACAATTCAATAATCACAATTCTACAAGTGAAATTTGCATCCCCACTTCATCGGTAGTGACCTCAACGAAGGTACCATTGTGCAGGTGATGAAAGAATACTGCGGCAAAATATGGGAAACATAATTCCATTACCATATATTCAGTTTAGTATGCAATGGCTTGGCTTCCATGATAACCAATAAATTCTGCAAATTTGGAAATCTTTTTAATAGCCAATTGAAAATGGAATAATCGAATTATACCTTATCATGTTATGCTCCTTTTTGTTATTGTAGCTATGCCTTCAAATCATAAGGTTAGCTATGCAAATGCATGGATGTCAGCAGAAGCCAGTTTAGCATTATCCTGTAATAAAAAGACAAAAACTTCAATCATGCCTCCAGGCCTTAACTGAAAGATCTAATAAATAAATCATTCCTCCATCATAATTTGGCGTTAAAAGGAACTAGGGAAGGTATCAGGCTTTCTTCCTGCCTACATAGTACAATTGACTCGGAAGGATAAAACTTCCTCTTGTTCATATGGTGACAAGTCTACCTGGCCTAGGAGGGACCAAATAAAATATAAATTGTACGTAATATCTTACCTTTATTTAGAAAAGGGTTAAGTAAGTAAAATCATATACTTACATAAGGATAATCTGTCATCCAATCAGGAATGCTTTTTGAAAGAAGGCTGATATACTGCTCCATAGCCTGCTCTGGACTCATAATCCCAAGTTGTTGCCATGCATTCCTTGCACAAAAATAACCCAGTTAACAACATAAAAGAATCTAATGAAGCAACTCTAACAAAAACCTACAGCTAGATGGAAAGGTTCTAAATGTTTAAAATATCACTGTAACTTAGCAGGGGCACGCGAAATCAACTACCACTTTGCTCGAGCAGAGAACTTCAGTGCCGTTGGCTGGGGTTCCTGGCAAGGACCCTGGGTGGCAATTCTGTGATAACCATAAAGCTTCGTCTTGACATCATTACCAAGATTCGTAACTAGATCAGCATTACTCTTAGACCCAACAAATACAACTGCTGCACCAAAACGCCTGTCCAACTCAGTTCTTTCTATTCCCTCCCAATCATCCTCATCCAGCAAACCCCAGTTTTTCCCAACTTCCCCGTTCCTACTAGATTCATCAATCTCATTACAAATTATTTCGCACTTCGAGATCTGAAGCTCTTCAACATCGTGTGCTCTAGATTCCAATTCCACCAGTTCTACCTCTACTTGGTTGATGTTAACCCCTTGATTACTCTCATCCACTGCACACCCGCATATGAAACCGCAATCGTCCTGAACGGGATCCTCCGCCAAATCCACGAGTTCAATTTCATTGTAAACTCGATTCTCATAAATCTTCACTGAATTGCGTATTTTTGGCGATCCACAACTCACATCAACTATTTCTGGGACTATTAGCTTTCCCAGTATTGGTTTATCTCTAAAGTCATCAAATTTTCCCACAATCCGAACAACTTCCTCTGTTTCCCAATTCTGAGAATCAGATTTGACTCCAAGATCATGATCATGATCATGATCACGCCCAATAACAGCCACTTTCTCGTTTGCCTCAAAGGTTGAGGTCACGGGCTGGAGCTTGATGAAAATCAATGGAAGTAGAAGAGAAAGAGCTATGGTGAAGGCAAGCTCCCAAAAGAGCTCCATGGCTTTCTAGAAGAGAGAGTTTATGAGTTTGTATGGGTGTGATCTCTGATGATAACAAAAGCAACAGGAAAAAAAGTGGGTTTTGCTTAGAAGAGCAAGGTATATTCTCTTTGTTAGGTCAGGTGTAACAACATACACATGTTTTACTCAAGCGCTATACAAGTCGGTGTTGGAAAATGACTCCTCCACCGTCACGCCTTTGGAGGAAGGAAGGAGCGTGGAATTTTGAAAGGAAAATATAGTCACATAATTTGAAAACGGTTTAGAAATTATCAAACTAGTTGATATCAAGGTACGAGAGCGAAGGGATTGTATTTAACAGTTTCCTGTTTTTGAGTTGAATCAATAATGTCAGCTATATTTCTATTTACCGGATCGAAATCTATGTAGACAATTGGTCTAAATTGATAATATCAATTGATTCAAGACTTGCTAGCAAACGGTTGTTGGGCCGAGTGTTTTGTTTTTAAATATTTTGAAATGGGAACTTCTAACAGCCTCGCAGACTAATGATGCGTCACATGTTTTTAAATTTACGATAGCAAACTCTCGTATGCGTCACAGGGTTGGCCTGTCTTTTGAAAATGGGTTGGAAGTATGAATTTAAATCTTCTCGTCGCAAATCATAACCATACAAAATAGATCAATGGTAATAAAGGAAGAAAAAAAAAATATTAAAATAGCTAATTACAAAATCATAACCGTTGATTTGCTTTTATATGACTATGATCTTTTCACATTACCATATGTCTATGTCACGTGTTTTTTCAAATGAGAGGATCTATTTTCTTGGAAATACAAACTTATTCTGTTTTATGGTGGGTTCTATTGGAGAATATTCTTGGATAAGATCAGATCAATGTAGTTTGTTATAGTTTGTTATGATGTACATCTTGTTACCTAGTTTAATGTGTTTTGTTATGATAGGATATAGTTGTTTACGTAGGTTGCGGTCTATTATTTTTAGTCTTATCTTTTTGTACTGATATGCCTTATATTAAAGGCACCATTGAACCCAGTAAAACACAAGCTTTACGATACCAAATTTATTATGGTATCAGAGCAGATTCGAACACTTCCGCAAAACTCTGATCAAAGTTGATAGCTGGTGTGCAGCCTGGTCTCATTTAGTCGCAGAAACAACAATGGCACTGGATGAGGATCAGCAACCTGCAACAACATATTCAGCAATGACTCCTGAGATTATTAATCGCCTATTGAGTTTGGTTGAGCAGCCTCGCTCAACAGACAAGCTTTCTGCTAATGCAGAAAATTATGCAGTATGGATCATCGATAGTGGGGCATCCCAACATATGACAGGGTTGCTTTCGGTGCTCTGTGATGTCAAGAATATTGAAGCCTTGCCTGTGAGGTTGCCGAACGGGACAACTACTTATGCAATGAAGCAAGGAACAACAATATTGAATAATAATTTGAAACTGACTAATGTGTTATATGTACCAAATCTGAGATGCAATTTAATATCAGTTGGCCAGCTTGTGCGTTCAGATAACAAGAATATTCTCCAATAGGTTCACATATTGATCCGTTTCAAAAATTAAAAAATTTTATAAATAATATTTTATAAATGTTATAATATTATTTAAATTTATTTCACATTTTCCTTGATTATTTTCGATCCCAAACCTAAATGTATATTACTATTCGGTTGGATAGTCTTTAGTAATTAATTTTTGCCATCATATATCCATAATCTTTATCATAAATAAAGTGTTTTATTTTTTATTTTATTTTAGGAAAATGCTAAATTACAAGTTTTGGATATCATAAAAGGTTAAAATAACAAATAAAATATTACTTGAAAGTAAAAAAAAAAAAAATTGGCCCAGTAGGTTGAAATGGGGGTGACAGGTTGAAAATCTTAACACAACCCACCATTTGTGGCGGGTTAAATGGACCAACTCGATAGATTGGGCCCGTTTTGCCACCCCGACAAACCCCTCACCAGTAAGCTAATTCTAATGGCTTTGTAGATCGAGGAATTCATTGCCAGAATTCACAATCAATGAGTTAAGTTACATTAATAGTTATAAATGGATGCAAAACTATGTCTCAACCCAAAGTTGTGGGCTCCCTAACCGCTTGACTGTGATATCAAGAGCCTTTGTTCTTGGACTTATTCTATGTTATTATTTAGACTCGTCACACTTAAATAATCTAATAACCCCTCCTCACATGTGAAACACCACATTAATATATTCCCCTTAATGAAAACTACTTTAAGTACGTCAAAAGTACTCAACCCGCCTAACTCAAGCTCAACCAACTTTTATACCATTATCAAGCGAGTCAGGGAGCCCATGGTAGAGAACCACAACCAATGAACTAATATAGACCAACCATCCGACATCATGTCTTAGCCCAATTGTAGCAAGTGGATCCGACATAATGTCTCAACCAAAAATCTTAAGATGGTGGTCCCCTACTATAGACTTCCTATAAACTGCCTAACACAAGCCAAATAATGTGTTTAGCAAATGATATATGAAGGTTTTCTTCAAGAGTTTGTGTTCAACATAAGCACAATTCAAATTATTATCATAAAGTAGATAATTTTTTTTTTTTTTACAATTACCAACCGATGTCCGAAGTATTAATGGACTCCACAATACATAACATACTTTTATATATTTAATTTGGACTCGTACTAAGTGAAATACAGGGTCAAACCCATTTTACAGCCTAAGAGGCCTAATAATAAAGATTTAAGGAATAAGGAATTGCATTTATCTCGTGTACACATCATCCCCCAGACACACAATTAGAGTAACAGGGCATAGAGCTCCTTAGCCTTCTCAATAGCCAATGACTAAAGGACCAGCACAAGGTTCTAATTAGATCTGCATAACATATATGGGATAAGATACATCTTTGAAGGGATTTAAAGCCTTAATCCTGGAGGATATCTATGGTTTATCAAAATAATAATAAAAAAATACTAACTTGAGTGTTGAAATGCTTTGTAGGTATCTTCCTCCATCCTTCTTAGCCAAGTAAAGATCTCTAGCATCAACAAAATCATCCGGAGTACCATCCCGCAAAACCTCTTGTCACAGCCCGCAACAAACTCATCTCATATTTCAACTCGATCAGGTTCAGCCATATCTGGTTAAACTCAATATCTCTTGAAATAATCAATATTAAATTAGAATTTATCTTTAAAAAGTTAAAGTAAATCTATTAGATTTTTGTTTTATAGGACAATACGTGTTATTCTTACCTTCTCTTCTTTTAAATTTTAAATTTAAATTATTTTAAATTAATTATACATGATTTTCTATCTTTTTAATTTATACATTTTATATTTATTCAATCACCCCATTCTTTCCGTACTACATTTTCAACTGCAAATGTTAGATATATCGTTAGTATTTTCTTATAATTCAATACGAATTCGTGGAAACTCTTATAATAGAAAATAGAAGCTCTGTTTTCACAATTTATTATTAAACTGTGAGAATTAATTTAGCGACACGAATGTATCTAATTACAAATGTACAATATTTGGTTATTTACATTGAAAAACATGTTCCCCAAAAAAAAAAGTGTCTTTGGATTTGTTTTTTTCTTTTACGAAAAACATTTTTTCAAATCCCTCTTAATTAAATTTTAAATATAAACTATTTGGAAAAAATATGTATCATTTTAAAAGATATAAAATTGTGTTATTTTAAGTGAAAAAAATATATAGATGAAAAAAAAAAAGTAGACAAAAAAAAATTAAAGGTGTGAATAAATTTAAAAGGGAAAACACTTTTTCCACACTATTTTCAATATAATTTTCTATAAAAAAAAAAAAAAGGAAGAAAGAAAGAAAAAGCCCCCAAAAAAGAAAAGACAATTGTGGGAATGCCCGGTGCGTGTAAATTTATTCGCGTTGAACTTCGCCTCCTGCTTCCTTGACTTGAGAAAAAAAGTTAGGGTCTTTTGGGTTTCATCGTGCGGTATCAGACATGGGAGGAGGCAATGGGCAAAAGGCAAAGATGGCTCGTGAGAAGAACCTCGAAAAGCAGAAGGGCGGAAAGGGTAATTTTTCTCTTCGGCCCTCTCTCCAACCTTGATAATTTATCATTCATCGCCTGTTTAATTGACGAGGATTGTTGGGCATTAAAATCCAGACTTTTATGCCTTCAACTTTTTGAGATGAAAAAGAAAAAAAAGTTTTTGAAACAAATTGAAAATCGAGACCATATAGTAGATCTGTCTTGACTCTTGATTTTTATAATTGGTTTGATATGCGCAGGAAGCCAGCTGGATTCAAACAAGAAAGCAATGTCGATCCAGGTAATTTGATGTTTGTAATCTCACACCGGCCTATGATTCTCGTTACTTTTCGTTTTTCTACTCCTTTTATTTTTATCCTCGTAAGTTGAAATTCACACATGGTTTCTTGTACTCTGTGGAATAATGAAGTTCGATGATTTAATATTGCTCTGTATTATTTCGGTGGACAAATGTTACTGTATAGATTTGCAGTTTAGGTTGGCTACTGTTAGTAGCATTTGTTTCGTGCTTGGCATTCATCCTTGGGGCTGGGGCTGATTCATTTTTATTTTGTTTTTTATTTTTCAATTTTTCTTCATTTCTGCAATATCTTCTGCATCTGCATTCCCTGTTCCTTTCAAAAAAAATAAAAAAATCCACCCATTTATAACAAATTTGAATTCTTAGTCACGTCTCATTCTCATTTCATGACACATCTTCCGAGCTACCATATCAAATTAAATTTGTTTTTTCCTCTTTAATTAGTTATTCATTGAAAGGAGATTTTACTTTCCTTAATTTCTTTAATCAATGCTGAAATTTCTACAATTAACGTTAGGCATAATGGGATATTTGCAAATTAGTAGCAAAACAACCTTCTATCAGTTGAACCAATTTTCGAGATATTCCAAAACTGAAAGTTTCAAATGCTTGTATTTAATTTTGTTACTAATAAAATAATATTCTATCAATTAAACCAATTTTCTTTTATTTATTTTTTTAAATTTTTCTGTATGTCACCTGTATTTAACAATAGCCCTTTGCTAGTTTATAACTTAGGGCCAGAAAACGCGAAAATGTGATTCAGGCTTCATACCAGCTCAGGTCATTGCCAATTCTTAAATACTAGTGAAATTATTAAATATCACCTCAGTTTTATAAATATTTTATAAATATTGCAAGTAAAAGGAAAACATAACCAAGAAAAACCAGAACGGGAAATATTGGTTCAAATTCTTTTATGAAGAGATATACTTTATCCGCAGCAAAACCATGGGAATTCATTATTATTTTGGGTTGGGGCAGATGTAATGACCTTGTTTTACCTTGTACCGCATGATCCAAGCAGTCTGGTGCTGACTATTTTTTTTAATTTGCTATGCCGTATAAACTCTTTCATAGAGGCATGCAATGTATCCGCTTGTATTATTTAGTAAGATTATTGAAATATGCTTGTTGCTAATGATGTTACATCACAAATTCATAATAATTTAAAATCAATGCGCATGTTGTAGGTTTGATATAGATGCCTGGTATCAAAATTTAATAATAGATTTGAATCTCCATAAAGCACTGCATGAATTACTGTTTCATTTCTTTCTCTAACAGCATTGCTGTAGAGACTGCAGAAGAATTTTAGCCCCTTACTGATCAACAATGTTGTGATTGACGATTGCAGTGCAAGGTGTGTATGCAAACATTCATGTGCACCACGTCGGAAGTGAAATGCAGGGAGCATGTTGAAGCCAAACACCCAAAATCTGATATTCATACTTGTTTTCCTCATCTTAAAAACTGAACATATTGGGGATCGCAGGTGGAGACAACTTGATATAATCATGGCCTCTTCCTTGAATCTATTGACGGTGATCTTCCCCAATTTCTATTATATCAAATGTGTCTTTGCGTTTATTACGATTTCCCTTGATATATTAGGGAATGAAACACTGTGACTCTCGTTTTGTCTGTGTAACTGTTCAATGATCGCTAGTGTTAATATTTAAGTGTTTTACAGAATATCCTAAACTTATAACAGGAAGTATTCATCAATAATTATAGGTTACACTAATCTGAGACCTAAAAAGGAACTTTTGATGTCGCAGCCACAAATCAAGGACACTTTAGAACCTAGGTGCTTTCGTTCTGCCACTGTGGATTGCATCTGTCCCAAATGACTGGTCAAATCGTGCCAAAAATATGAACAACTGCAAGCCAAGAGCGGAGGCATTTTTCATCTTATGAATGGCCTTTTTAATAAGATGCCAGTTTTGAAGGCTTAAAAGTTAGATATAGGCTTAAAAGCGTCGGGCTTTCATCTTATGAAATAGAGTTCTGCTCCATTTCTATTGATCTTCCATACTAGTAGTATTTGTACCCGGTCTGTTGAGTGGCATGAGGACAATATGGTAGCAAAATTTTTGTACAACTGCCATTTTTCGTGCTCATATTCTTTGTACACTTTAGGATCTTAAATCATTTGTTTGCATGTAAGAATCCATCCATTAATATAAGAGATATAAAACCAAAGAGGCTACATGCAGATGTTCGTTTGCAAGCGAACCGCTTCAACCCTCATCAGAAGCTTATTTCTCGCCACCTTGAACCGAATGGTTCCCAAAATGGTTTATCAAAGTTGCAGTGGCGCATCAAAAGAAAACATAATTGGAAAGATCTTTACCGCTTTAGATCATCAGAATTTAAGAATTCTATAGTAGAATTACGTGGGTGAGGGCAGAATTTCAATTTTCAACAATTGGCAATAATATTATTCGTCAACTGAATGTAATATTGTTACACTCCACAAGAAAACTAAACTATAATAAACATAAGGTAACCATAAGGCAGAATTTCAGCAGCTAGGGTATTATAAAACATTCCCAAATATATAAACTCAAGTTTATGGATCCATACGTAATCAAGTTTATGTTCTCATTCTGTTACTTTCTGCTGCCCTTACCTGAGAGAAATATGGATGTGCCTGCAAGTATTATACACCAAGATAGGAGCAAAAAGTTAGCGAACGCAACTTAAAAATTAAAAACTAATTAACCAAAATTAAAAATAAATAAATATTAAATCAAAAGATTATGAAGTATATGCAACATAAGAACCATGCTAAGGCAAATGGAAAAAAACTAAAAATTAATGAGCTCTTATCATCACCATTGCTTCTTTTGCTGTTAGCCTGTCCTGGTGATCATATCGAAGGAGTTTATCAAGAAAATCAATTGCCTGCATGTAAGACATAGAGAAAGAATTAAAATCTATATACACAAAATTGTTAAAATGCAGCATAAGCGCGGGGTCAATGCCAGATTGGAAAATTGCTTAAGTGACCTCGGGTGACACGAGATGCTGATTATCTGCATTGATAAATTTAGACCAGGGCTTGCGACTGTGCCTGCAGAAGAAAATAACAATACATAATAAATGATGCGATAAGGCAGTAATACTTCTTCGTTTATCTACCAAGGCAAAATAAAGTCAAAATAAAAGCAACACACTTCTAATGAGAGCTTGGAGAGGGATTAGGGAATATTAAATTTCCAAGGAAATATTTATGATAAAAAGTTTGGATCTACTAAATCAAACTTCCTCTTGAGATGTGCAGAAAATGAAATGGAGAATGATACCTTCCAACAAGTGCATCAAGTTGAGGATCAAGCTCTAGATGATACTTATTAAGATATGCATTCAGTTCATCAGTTCCAAGCACCTGCAGTTCACATAATAATAAATAATAACTATTAGAGGAAATACAATATAAAATTATTAATGTAACATCACCTAATAGCTTAAATTTTTGGGTTGAATTGATTTTTTACATAATATTAAAGCCTCTGTGATCAAGTGGTCACAAATTCAATCCTTACTACCCCATTCTATTAATAAATAATTAAATATTGTGGAGTTTCTTAGCATAGATAAGCGGCGCCTGTGCATTGTTCACCCTTCAAGTCCAATGAGATCTTGTGTGAGGAGACGTGTTAAAGGAAATATAATATAAAACCATTAATATAACATCACCTAACAGCTCAAGCTATTGGATTGAATTAGTTTTTTACAATAACTAATAATAACAACTTAGATATGTAAAGAGAAGTATCTCTAGAAAGGATCATTGGGAGGAGGCAACTTACTTAAATATGCTAAACAATGGTCCATGATTGAAGTATACTTAAAAACCCACATTAAAAACAGGAGAATACATCATAGTTTGGAACGAAAACATGAAATTATTTGTACATCATTAGCAAGATAATCAAACATTTAGAAATGATTGCAGACCACCATGGATGTTACCTTAGCTATTTTGACAAGCTGATCATGGTTGTCATGACCATAAAAGAAAGGTTCCTTGCGAAATATCTACACACAAAGTACAATGAACAAAGCATAACTCAGAATTACACAATTTTACTCATGTACGCACAAATTTAAACTATCTACATAATAATGCCAAGAGTATTTCATTATAACCAGTAGCTTATAGCTATAATTCTCACCATTCCAGCAAACATGCAGCCAAGGCTCCACATGTCTAATGAGTAGTCATAGTCTTGCAAATCAACTAGAAGTTCAGGTCCTTTAAAGTATCTGAGTCGAAGGCATAGCACACGACCATTGTTTTGGTCAATGACATTTAAAACTTGAGAAACCACAACTTATCCTCCAATTACAATAATACAAAATAAAGGTCTAGGAAAATTTAGCAATCATTTTTCCTTTGTCAAGTTTTAATACCTATGATTATAGGAACAAATATAAGCAAACGAAAACAAAATCAAATAAAGGGACCTGTGACAGAGCAAATGCTTGCCAAGAAATAAGCTAAGCATTGTCTTTTTACCATAAACCACATGCAAGACTACAAACTTGCAAGATGCTACTTGTAAGTGTTGACAGAAGTTTAGAGTGGGAATTGGGTTTAGGTGACCAGACAAAAGGGCAGCAGTTTGTTTTGCCTGGAAAAGACAAAAAAGAGGTGGGGACAGCTTGATGGAGTAAGCTAGAATAGTGCTAAACTCACGTCAAACCCTCAGTTCATTTAAATTCAACTCAGCAAACATTGTAGGAGAGCCTGTTACACCAAGTAAAGAAACCAGGGGGAAAATGCCTTGGGAATTGAAGACCATAAAACAATTAGTAGGGATTGGTTTATTCAAACGCCAGGATAATTAATATTGTAATTTGTATGTAACATTTATCTTGCATAAATTTGGGATAGTAGTTTACTGCAACCTTTTTGGGAGTCTTAAATGTCAGTACCTTCAGTCGCAAGAAAGGTCACACCTCAGTTAACCAAAAGTACCTTTCAGACCCATATTTTAATTAGAAAAATTGTGGTGGTGCTAAATTTTATGTAAGTAATGCACTCTTGGTTCATGACTTCATGTTTCCACAACTTCAGAATTACTTTATGGATGCACCAAAAGATTTAGACAATTTTCCAGCAATTTTTCCAATTTGAAAAATCCAAATTGGTGCATGCCTTACCAGTATTAATTTATGTGACTGACATATTAATCCACTCATTCAGGCTTTTCCATTTCTCATATGTCATATTTGCATTTAGAACCTATGAAACACCGACACTTCAAAAATCCTGACGTGTCGTGTCCGACACTTCTCGACACTCTCCGACACTCCAACACGCGTTGTAAAAACTCAAAAAATGGTTCAAAGGTTGCGTTGCGTTACGTTTTTAGTTCAAACTATTAGATTCGTTAAAATACGATTACTATTTTATTGAGTTTAATAGAAATATTTAGGATATCTTATGTTTATTTGCAAAATTGATGGGTATTATAAGTTTAACTTCATTTTTTCTTAAATTATTGAATATTAAATATAATATACACTACATTAATTAAAAATGTTATTTAATATCAAAACGTGTCCTAACGTGTCAAAATCTAACATTTTTTAGAATTAACGTGTCGGAGTGTCGTATCGTGTCATGTCACGTGTCGGTATCGGTGCTACATAGTTTAGAACTAGAGAATAGATCACGGTCTATTGGTCAGAGAAAGTTACCTTGAAGCCACACGAACATTATATTCCTTCCCAGGATGATAAAATTCAGCAAGACCCCAATCTATCAAGCGAAGTTTTCGTAACTCGTGATCTATCATAACATTATGAGGCTTGACATCTCTATGCATTATGCCTTGAGAATGGCAGTAATCCAAGGCCTGCAGTTCAAAACCAAAGCATTCAGGTAACAAGGAAAGGTTCTCAAGAGATGTTTGCTCAAATATTAAGTAATAATTTCAAGATACATAAGCAAAAAGCCTAAAGACCCTATACTCATAAACTAAATGCGGAATTAAGTTTGAAGCCTGATCCAAGACAAAGATACTCCAATATTTAAGGCAAGGACACACATAATGGAAGTCCCACTAATAGTACAGGAGATTGAAGAATCATATTACCTTAAGGAGCTCATATATGTAATAGCGGATGTCATAATCAGTCAAGGTCGGATACAAAACTTTAAAATCTGTACTGTTGACAAACTCAAATATCAAGCTAGGAGTTTTTGAATGTTGATCTCTGACAATATCAAGAAGCTTGACAATATTTGGGCCGCCACAAAGGTTCTGAAGTATCTTTATCTCTCTTTTAATCTGCAAAATGATGTTGAAGAGCTCATAAAGTAAGCAAAACACCTCAGAAGATTTCTGATACAAACCAACCAACCAGCCAAATACAATTTTAACAGCAAATAACAGAGAAATTTTGATCTGAATATTCAGCTTTCCATTTAATCATCAACGACAAATACAAATATGACAACTTAACAGAGACACTTGCAGAAAATTAAAGAAGATTACACTGAAATCAAAAGGAATTAACAATCCAGAAAAATAAAAGATAGGTGTGAGACAATTGGAGAGGTCTCACTCTCTCCCAAGATTCCAGTTCGAACAATATTCAGACTGTCCTCCTCGGGCACACATCCTTCCCTCTTAACCAATTTCCCCCGTAACCAACTTGCTCCCACACACCTGTATTCTGTTAGAGGGCATTCCCGTCAATGTCTCCATTTGGGCCACCATCATACCCACTATTAGCATCTGCACTTGGGTCAACAATATTGTCAATTGGGTCAACAACATTGCTACTTGGGTTAGTCTTTACATTTGAGGCCCAACATCTTCTATTTTTATCTCTACGGGCCCCCCCCCCCCCCCCAACACATTTTAGCACCTTGTCCTCGAGGCGGAAGTTGGGAATTAACTTTGAATTAAGAAAAAACCTCCCAAGTGTTTTGAAAATCAAACAAGTCGCACCATTTAATCAATACCTCTAATTGTCCTGTACTGAAGCACCGCCACTGAACCACAGAGTCTGGTTTCACTTGTAACTCCCAGTTTTCAGACAGAACTGATGGCAAAGGTTGGGCATTTGGAATAGA